TATATATATATAAATATCCACCCAGTTTCGATTTCTGCAGCCTGTTACGTAATAGCTAAATTGAGCTATCTCCAGCCACTTCAAAATAAATTTTGGGAAGACAGTATTCATGGACAGTAAGTCCCTGACATAGTTCCAATAAAATAATTAGATGCTGATACTAAGAAAATTCTTTCAGTACTATAATCTGGATCTCCATTTCTCTTTGAGGTCCTGAGGAACATGAAATCAACCAGTGTTGTCACTCAGACTGCAGGTAAGATCTCAGGGTTAATACTTTCATTTTGTTTTTTAATTGAAGGTGAGAATTTTGTTTTCAGTTGTAATATAGGATCTACAGTAACACTAATGTAGAATTTTAATAAGGGCCCTTCTGCATGCCACAACTAGGAAAGGGGAAATAAGGAGCAGGAAAGTTCTGTTAACAGACCTGCACGTCATAACAGAGCCCGATGATCTCTTTCCGTGAGGTGACCTGCTTAAAAACACATTGCCCCTCTTTCCCTCTTGCCCCAGGGAAAGAGGGGCAATGCCCAACAGAATGCACTTGAGCATCTGATGGTTGCCAAATCATGTCAAGCCATCAGCAACATGTGAATCAGTACTGGCTAGTCACTTGATTATTAAAAACTCTTGATTATTTTAAGGTACAACATTAAAACAAATAACTTGAACATACCTGATTTGAAGACATATTCTCAACTTTCATTAGTGATGAATAGCTCCTAAAAGAAAACAACACATTTAAAATAAGGTTATCCAGGGGCGCCTGGTTGGCTCAGTCGGTTAAGTGTCCAACTCTTGATTTTGGGTCAGGTCATGATCTCAGGGCTGTGAGAACAAGCCCCACGGCAGGCTCCGCATTGGATGTGGAGCCTGCTTAAGTCCCCCCTTCTCTAAAAATAAACAAAACAAAACAAAATAAGGCTATCCGGCCAGCAAGTATTTCATGAACATTTACCCTGTATCCAGCACTGCTGAGGGTCTTTCGAAGGAAAATATGATCCCTGCCCTCAAGGAGATTGCAACAAATATTTTTGAACAGTGAATAAGATGTGCACAGCACTTTACGGTTTACAAAGTGCTTGCTCATACTCATTTCATGTCACTTCCACACTAACTGTGAGGTAAGTGGCGTTTTCAGATGAGGAAACCCATCTATGGCCAAGAGCAGATAGGACTCCTTGTTGGGGATGGACTGCCCAGACTGCAGAGGCTATAGGAACTCACGAGGAGATGCACCAGCACAGGGGCAGATCCGGAGAATGGTAGGAACAAAGGCAAAGAGATGGTATTTATAATGACATCTCAAGTCAATTCAAGTGGAGTCCGAAGGCAAAGTAGCGGGAAATGAGGCTGGATGTGTGGGGCCAGATTATGTTGTCCTACCTGCGTGAGCTAACACAACATGATCGGCAAGAAGCCACAATATAAGATGAGAGCAGAGGAGAGACATATGAGATTCAACAAGTATTTATTAAATATCCATGAGGTGTAAAGCCCTGTGCTAAGCCTGGGTGGAAGATAAGATGGGAAGAAAACAGAACATGATGAACAAGACAAAGCCTAGCCCCAAAGAGCTTACCAGGAGAGGAGATACGACCTATTCAGCCATAAGTCTGCAAAAAGTTCAATTAAAAATACACAAAGAGACAAAGGAAAGTGAGACCATAGAACACCAGTGTTTAATCTGTAGCAGACAGAAGAGAGGGAGAAGGGAAATTAAGGCAAGGAGATGAGTTAATAGTAACAGTATTTACATTTACCATTTACCAAGTATCCTTTATTTGCTAGGACCTGTGTTCTATGCTTCATAAATTACTGCCAATCCCCCCAACCACTTTATAAGGCAAGGGAGAGTCTCATGCCTACTCAAGACACAGGAGGCAGAGCGGGGGACGTTAAGGAAGTCGTGCAAGCTCTCCCAGCTAACTAGTGGAGAAGCGAGGCTCTGAATCCGCGTCGGACTCCTGAGCTCACACTCCTGCCATCATGCTCCATCCAGTCTGTTGCAATGTTCCTCTACTTGAGGGCATGAATCCAGGCTGTTAACAGCTGTCCCGGTAAGAAGGGATAAATCTGAGAGGAATCAACGATGACATCAAGGTTTCTATCTTGGGTGATTTGAAGAAAATAATGCTACAGTTGAGAGAAATGGGCAAATGCTGCAAGGAAGGTGTGCTCGGTGTGGGGCAGGTTGCATGTGAAGGAATGGTGAGACATCCAAGTAGAGAATACGAACTGTAGAAACGGAAAACTGAGAACGAGAGGGAAGGAGAACAGTCCCAGTTTGAGACAACGATCTGGGAGACGTTTGGAGAGAGAGATTAGGCGAAGCTTGTCGGAGGAAGTGGTATCGCTAAGAAATAGCCAGGTAAGATGGAGAAGCTGCACGAGCAGAAAGAGAGAGGCATGCTGAGCACAGAGTGGTTACAACAGGGAATCTCAATCCTGGCTGCATTTCAAAATCGCCTAATGAAGATGGGCATCCCCGAGCTGCGTTCGAGAACCACTGGGTCTGAGAGCCCACTTCGATGAAAGCCACACACAGAGTTACCCTTCGTTAGGCCATGCCTGTCCTCTGAGCTCCGTCCCATTCATCCATCTGCCTATCTGACATTTTTTTGGATACCTCAAGGTATTGTCAGATTCATATGTCCCTTCGCAACTCATGGTCCCACGCCTGTTTGGTTCTTTCCCAGCATCCCCTGGGCCCAGAGAACAGCACCGCCATCCATTTCATCTCACACACCAGAAACCTAGGAGTCACTCTTTTCCCCTGCCCGTCCCCTCCATTCGATCTAGCTTCAAATCTTGTGATTTTACCTCCCTGGTCCACTTCTCTCTACCCCTCCACAACACTCCCATATTCCAAGCTACCATCACCTGTCTTGTGGACAACTAATAGTTTTCTAACTGGCCTAGCCACCCCCACCAGGTTCCCCTTCCACTCAGGTCAGCAAAGTGAGCTTTCCGAAGCACAAACCTGATCATGCAACCCCCTGCTTAAAAGTCTTTGATGATCTCACAAAAGTCTGATGAAGGATGAAGACAAACATGACACCAACAGGCCCCGTGTGCCCGGGCACTTTGATCCATGCACTCCCTCACTCCTGGGTTCCATACATTTGGGCCTACCTTTCTAGTCCTGGGTTCTGCCTTGCTGCCTCCCGCACAGAGTCTTTCTTTGCACACCTAGTTCCCTCTGCTTAGAGCCCCCTTGCCACCCATCCCCCTTTTAACCAGCAAACATAGTTCTGATCTTAGCTCGGACATCACTGTATCAGAGAAGCCAATCTCTGTTATATACATCCGTAAATATATTAACCAATCACTCACTGCACATGCAAAGCACCGGATCACACATAAAGGGATGCAAAGATGCATATAAGTGCCTCTTTGAAGGAGTTTGCCATTAAAACGGAGAGCTACAGCACAAAGAGCATTAGTTATAGAAGGCAGCAGTGTTCGTGTGTGAGGGAGAAACAAAAGAAGATCCAATTAAAGCAGTCATTTCTACATTGGACTACATCCTCTTTTTAATCATTGGTCTTTTACCTTTTCTACACGTTGCCACTAAACTCCTCCTACGGGTCTACTTCTTCCTAACATCCTAGGACACCTATGATGGCTCCTTATCACTTACAACCTGAAATTCTGTACTGCACAAAACCTTTTAAAATCACTCTCTGATGTGCCTAATCTTTTATTCTTTTATTTGCCTATATATGACCTTGACTCTGGCCTTGCCAACCCATTCCTTTCTTGCCTTAGAGGCAGTACGATGTGGACCTCAGGACCCCAGACTTGAGTTAGAATTTCTGCTTTGCCACTTATCAGCTACAACTTTCCACACATTAACCATCTTTTTTTTTAAAAAGATTTTATTTTATTATTTTTAAAGATTTTATTTATTTATTTGACAGAGAGAGACAGAGCAAGAGAGGGAACACAAGCAGGGGGAGGGGGAGAGGGAGAAGCAGGCTCCCTGCCGAGCAGGGAGCCCGATGGGGGGCTCGAACCCAGGACCCTGGGATCATGACCTGAGCCGAAGGCAGACGCTTAACGACTGAGCCACTCAGGCGCGCCCCCCCCCATTAACCATCTTGCTAAAGTCATCTTTGTCCCCAAATCCAGCTCAGGTTACTTGTCCAAACTGATGATCCATTCACCTGTGACTTGCCATTTTACCTGGGCCTTGTACTTGTCTGACTTCAATCACCCGAGCCTTGGGTTCATATTTCGACCTCCCAGACTCCCAACTTTTAAATAACTCTATCTCAGGTAGCCACAGTCCCTACCTTTTTCTTTTCTGATCTGTTACTCACTTATCCTCTATTAACTACCTTTTTCCTTTCTCTATTGTTTCTTCTGGTTTCAATATCCACATGGTGGAGCTTGATTTTGATGTTGACGTTTGTTACAATACCACAAAGCCCAAATAAGTGAATACAAGACGAAACAGAGCAGGTGAGCTTTCATTTGGATGCAACCACGCACTCCACTACAGAGATGAAACGACGCAGCCAGGACACACTGAAGAGAGCCAGGGATGCTCTTCCCTAGCACCTGCTAATAAATGATGGTGTCCACTGGGAGACTCACGGGTAACCTGTCTAAAAGATTTCTCCAAATGCCTGCTCTCTCAAACCAAATGTAGACTGAGTAGAAGCTGTTCTGCTTCTCTCACTCTCAAGGTCACATCCAAGACACCGACTACTCTAAAAACCTGTGTTGAATCTCTGCTATTACCTCATCTTAATGTATGGCTTGCAGTGTAGCAGTCACAGAAAGGAAGGAACATGTGAGGAGGCTTCTTCCCTACACCCCCAAACCCCATGAGCTCCTAGGCTCACAGGGCATGTGTGTCTAAGGAGCTAACGAGTAAGATGGGTAAGTGAGAATATGCAAAGTCTAAGGAAGGGGAAATTTTTCACAATGGTTTAGATGAAGAAAATAAATGGTGAACAGACGGTGTTAATATACTGCCCTCTCAACAACCCAAATACTTCTAAAACCTGTCTAAGAGGATGTTCCTTACGTAGACCTATTTACATTATCAGATCGTTACAGTTTCTGCATGCTGAGGAGTAAAGGAGTAAAGGCTCATCGGCAAGAACAAGATGGAGTTCTGTCTCCAGGGGCTATCATTCCTCGCCTCGGAGCAGGAAGTCGTGCCTTCCACAGGGCGGGCTGGGCTTTGTTCACTGCTGAGCTGAGGGCCGAGAGAGGATCCTGACCAGAGGCCGGAGAACTTGGAGCTGTATAATGGCAATTCCATCCATTTCTTCTCCCAGTAGACATTAGAAATGAGAGGCTTACTGCTATTCTTGTTCAACAAGTTGAGAAGAAAAAGGGGACAAGAATCTAAATAATGGTTTTAGAATTGGAGGGAAGTTGGATATCTCCGGATATGAGGCTGTTGAGTATTTCTTTGCTGAAATCATCTGGAGGCATTGGGGATAACTTCCAGGATAAGAATATCTCTTGGTTTCTCTGCAGAATCCCCTTCAGACTCAAAAGTCGGTTTCTTAGGCAGTCGCAGCACCTAAAGTGGACATCCCCTACCAGATGGTCCAAATAAAAGAACCAGCTGCTGGTGAAAGCTAATGAAATTGTCATTGTCAGAAAGCCAAGTGAAAGACTTGAGAATGAGAAGATTCTGTAGGCCCAGCATTTGATCTCTTGGGTGGAAGAGTCAAAGACAGAAACTAAGGTGATGTATAAAGCACTACCAAGGTATAAAAACAGATTTTAAAACAGGTCAGAAGCTTAGAGCTTGTGGCTGGAAGTTCACAGAAGCTGCAGGACCCGGCACGCAAACAGGCAGGTCCCTGGTCTGTCGCTGCGTGGCTTCCCCACGCTGCAGCCTTGCCTCTCACCCTCCCAGCTTCGGCAGCTTGGGAAAGCAAATCATTGCTGTGGCACAGGTTTCACAGAAATGAACACATCAGCTGTTTCTGGTTTTCTGAGAGCCACGATCATTTATTAAAAAGAAAGCATCAAGGACAAACTGTGTAGGAAAACATGAACTAGAAAAGTGATTTTCCCATTTATTCCACTTACATTTTCCTTTTGATATATATGGGCCAGAGTGATATAGGATAAATATTTGTGTCTGAGAAAACAAATGGAAAAATTACAAGTGACGACGGACAGCTTAGAAAATGGGACTGATTAGAAAAATTTGCTTTTGAGGCAAAAATTTCATTCAGTAACAATGAGAATTTCTCCCCCCTCAACTTATTTAAGTATTTCATGTGTTGTTGATACTATAAAAGAAAATCTGGGCAATATGCACATTGTGTTTTAGTTTAAACTAATAAAATCAAATATACAAAATCCCCTAAATTTTACTAGTACACAGCTTGATTTGAAGCAAAAATGAAATGCATTTTAAGATGAATTCCCGTATCTATAAACTACTTGATTCATATGGAATAAATTTTACTTTAACGCTGAATAGACTGAACAGAGGCAGAAAAGAGTGGTAATAGCGTGTTGTGAGCTTGAGAATCAAGACAGACTAGCTCTGTGACTTTCGGCAAGTTACTTAACTGCTTGTCAGGCTCAGTTTCCTCTTCTAGAAAATGCAGGTAATAACAGTATTCGCCTCATATTGGCTATTGTTAGGATTAAATGAAATAATGGAGCTAAATATAGTACAGGGTTTGGCAGATGACAAGTGCCCAAAAACGTTAGCTATTCTTTCTTGTTAAGTTTTTAAGTAAATTAGGTGATATTATATTCCTAACATATTATGTTTCTGCACAAAATTGTTAGATCTGTAAAGGGCACAAGAAGGTATGTTTTCAATCTTTTCCCCACTCCACACAAAAAACAAAAATGAATAAGCTACTCTCAATCCTACATTGCTCAAAATTCCACACACTTTACTGCGCTGATCGAGCTGATAATTTTTCTTTCACTCACAACACAAAGCAGACTCACACTAGGTCAAACCAAATCTGGGCATTCGTTTGTCTTGCGTCAGCAGATTATAACTCAGGATAACACTTCCGGAGTTCTCCATCTGAATATATTTTAAATGAAGCCACTTATCCTGTTTCAGCAGAACCCCCAAAGGAGCACATGCATGCGGATAACTAAGAAATACCAGTACTTGATCGTTATACCTACGTTCTGACCTAACCACCTTTCTAATCATCCAGTGTATTCCAAGGAAACCGAGTCAGGACATGGCAAGACAGCTCATTTTGATCCTATGGCACTCCCAAAGGCACAGCAATACCTTTTCTTCCCCCCATTTCTTTTTGGTATACTTAACAGAAATGATACCTACGGAGAACTGTGGGAAAATCTAGAAATCCTGTGAGTAGAAGTTGCAGGATTAAATTCCCTCTCTGACAAAGAAAACCCAGGAGTCTCTTTAGGTATAAATATACATCTACTACAGATTCAGTGTGGTGGGCAGACTAATGATCCCATAGATATCCACATCCCAATCCCCAGAACCTGCAAATATGTCACCTCATCTGGCACAAGGGGCTTTGCAGATGTGGTTGGGTTAAGGATCTTAGATGGAGAGGTTATGGATTGTCTGGGTGCGCCCAAAGTCACTGCACTGGTCCTCAACAGTAGAGAAGGCTGTGGTCAGAGATGGGGCTGTGACTCTGGAGGGACGGTCTCAGAGATGCCATGTGGCCAGCTCTGAAGATGGAGGAAGGGGCCACAAGCCAAGGAATGTGGGTGGCCTCTAGGAGCTGGAAAAGGAAACAGATTCTCCCCTAGAGCTCCAGAAAGGAACACAGCCTGGCTGACACCTTGGTATTAGCCCAGAGAACCACGCTGGACTTCTAACATAGGAATGGATGGAGGAACCGTAAGATAAGAAATCTATGTTGTTTGAAGCCACTAAATTTGTGATAATTTGTTATAGGAGCCACAGAAAACTAATACAGTCTGGATTCTCATACATCAGAAATTCAGGACTCTAGTTGTATTTTAACTACTATTTATCATTTGACTTACTTATTTTTGTTTATTTTTTAAAGATTTTATATCTTATTTTATTAAGTAGGCTCCACACCCAACATGGGGATTGAACTCACAGCCCCAAGATCAAGAGTCACATGCTCTACCGACTGAGCCAGCTAGGCACCACCTACTATTTATCATTTTAAAATGTAGTGCTGTGGGGTAGGCCTCATTACATTAATCACTTCTAACTTATGAAAAAAAATTTTTATTTTAAAAAGCAGATTTTAAGAATTACTAGCATTGGGGCACCTGGCTGGCTCAGTTGGTTAAGTGTTTGCCTTCGGCACAGGTCACAGATCCCAGGGTCCAGTGATTGAGCCCTACGTCAGGTTTCCTGCTCAGCTGGGGGTCTGCTTCTCCCTCTCCCCTCTGGCTCTCAACTCCCCCTACCCCCACCCCTGCTCGTGCTCTCTCTCTCGCAAATAAACAAAATTTAAAAAAAAAAAATTACTAGCATAGGCCTTCAGAGCTAAGACCACCTTATTCAAGTACCACAGCAAGTCAATGTTAAGATGTTTACAAACCGAACTCTAAAGAGGATGGTTTATCTAAGAATAAAATTAGCTCTTTTATTTCACACATACTCATATCCCGTCCCTACAAAAGGGCGTCATTTGACCAACGCATGAGCATAACTGCCTTTTCCTAGACCGTCTCAGGCCCCGAGTCTGTTCTCTGTCCTGCCCTCCACCAGTATATCCTTCCTACGGGCTGGTCCCTGATGAAAATCAGCAGCAAGGAATCTCCAAGGTCAACACCAATACCACAGATCTGACATACCTAAGTTCGTCCATTTCCCGCTTCTTCTTCATCTCTTCCTTCTCTCTCCTTTTCATTTCCTGAATTTGGGCTTTTTTCTCATTCCTCTCTTCTCGGTCTCTGCATTCCTTCTCTGCCGCGAGGTCTGGGAACCGCTCCATTTTGGTCTTTTCTAATCGGTTCAGGATCTCATTCACTTTCTTCTCCACGGTCACAATTTTCACCTTTGAGGGAGATGGGAGGGAACATTATTGAATCTTTATTGTAGGTTTTCCCCCCCAGAACAGAGACAACACTTTCTAGGGGCCAAACAACCCAGCTGAGAAGGGATTTAGAAGGCATACATCATGCTGAGCCTTCAACAATGAAGGCAGGAGCCGGAAAAGCCCGGGGCTCCACTCCGCCTCCTCTGGCAGTGCACAACACTTACATCCTTCTGCCTGTGAAAGCCTATCTGTCCCACATCCATGTCGGCTGTTTTCTTCAGGTTAGACCACGGTGTATATACCACATTAACGTTGTTCATCTTGCAGCCTGCCAAGAGAGACTGTCTTCAACATGAGGACTGGAGGATACTGAGTTCCCTCACCCACTGGCCAATTACCAAAATCCAACAAAGGGAAAGGCTAAGCGCAGACAGCCATTGAGGGATTCAAACCACCAGATACTTTTTTTTTTGAACCCACCCACGAAAGGCAAATGGTAAACAGGTGACCAACACAATTCAAGCAATAGTGTTATGAAGGAAAGCGGGGTCTGTGGATTAGCTTCAGGGACTTCTGAGACTCCCAAATACTGAAAACAAAATTTATGATACACATTTTTTAAAAAGAGAAATGGACCAAACAGGTTTCCCTCAGATTCCCAATGGAGTCCTTGATTCAGTAAAGGCTAAACATCGAGATAAAGCGAAAAGCCATGGTCTGGGATTCAGGAGACCAGCACGCGAGCCTGGCACTAACACAAACCAGCTGTGTCACTTAGGGAACGTGCCCAGGGCTCCCGGAATCTCATCTGAAACAGGAAGAGATTGGACTAGAATTTTTTGTTTGTTTGTTTCTTTTCACAGTGGTAGCACCTCTTTTACCAAAGAAAACATATCAAAGTAATAAAAGCAGAGATGCTCTGGATGAAAGGGGTGCCGGGTACCCCATACCCCACTCATTCTTCCTACCACCTCCACCTCACATTTCCCCTCTGCCCCGGACCGCTTCTCAGGCAGCTTGAAGAATCCCAGTTTAATCACTGGCCCAACACTCTTTAAGGCCCTTTTCAGTATATTACATAGTTTATTAAATCACCACATACATTGGAGAAAACTGGTGAATAACTGCTTACTTAAGTAATCAAAATTAACATCATCAAAAATGGAGCAAAATGGCACCATGTGACTCCTGATTGTAACGCACAAGATTTCACTTATATGTTATTCCTGACTGAAAATGCATGTGATCCTACTCAAGTGGAAGCATCAGACCAACCCAAATCACAGGATATCCTACAACTGGTTTCCATTCAAAATGTCAATGTCTTGAAAGACAAAGAAGTATCTTTAGATTAAAAGAGATTAGAGACATGATGAGTAACTATAACATATGATCTTGGATCAGAAAAAGAAATGCCAGGGAGCCTGGGTGGCTCAGTCAGTTAAGCTTCTGCCTTTAGCTCAGGTCATGATCCCGCGGTCCTGGGATCAAGTCCTACATCGGGCTCCCCATGCTCTGCAGGGAGCCTGCTTCTCCCTCTGCCTGCAGCTCCCCTTGCTTGTGCATTCTCTCTCTCTCTCTAATAAATAAAATCTTTAAAAAAAAAAGAGAGAGAAAAAGAAATGCTATAAAGGGATAGTAGTGGGACAACTGGAAAAACTTACATATGGACTGTATATCAAATGACAGTATTCTAGCCATGTTAAACTTCCTGAATCTGGTCACAGTAATGCAGTTACTTAGACAATGTCCTTGTTCTTAGGACATGCTAAAGAGTTATGAAGTCTATAATTTTCCTTCAAATGATTCAGCTAAAAAAATGAATAATTAGAACATTAAAGAGAGAAAGCAAATACATATGGAAAAATTATTGAATCTAAGTGAAGGGCATACAGGAGTTGTATTTTTCTTGCAACACTGCTGTAGGTTTGAAATTTTTTTTTTTTTTTTCAAAATCAAGATTTAAAAAAATCTCCATGTGTGTGGTGCTACAGGAGATCCAAACATGGATCAGAGAATGGGTCTTATCTTCCAAGACTAAAGGCAAGCAGGTAAGTACATAAATAACCTCAATTAAAAGCAGACCTCTTCAGGATGCCCGGGTGGCTCAGTCGGTTAAGCGTCTGCCTTCGGCTCAGGTCATGATCTCAGGGTCCTGGGATTGAGCCCTGCGTCAGACTTCTTGCTCAGCAGGGAGTATGCTTCTTTCTCTCTGCCCTCCCCGCTCCCCCGCCCAGCTCTCGCTCTCTCTCAAATAAATAAATATAATCTTTAGGAAAAAAAAAAAAGAAAGAAAAGTAGAACTCATCAAATGCTATTGGAAAGGTACAGGTAAAGTACTAATGCTGCTCTGAGAGGGCAGTGGTCACCCACGCTGGAAGAAGGGAAAGGCTCCATCAGAGAGGTTAATACAGTTTAGTGGTTAAGACAGAAGACTTTCAGATCAGACTAACTTCAAATGCACCCACCACCACACTCCAGAGCTCTGAGACCTTGGGCAGGTTCCTTAACTCCCTTAAGCTCAGCTCCCTCATCTCTAGAATGAAAATAATAACGCATATCTCAGTAGGGTTGATAAGTGAAATAATCTGTGAAGTTTTAGCATGTAGTGCCAGGCATGTAATTAACGTTCAAGGTTAGCTATTACTACCATTACTACAACTACTGGGTGGACCCTGAACCTTAGCTTGCATCTAGACACAGGACGACTGACAAGGCAGACAAAACTGAGGACAGAGGAGACAACATAAGCAGAGATATATGGTAGGAAAACAGCCAATACGTGCTTTGGCTGGAGGGTGAAATATGTGAAGGGAAAAAAGCCTGTAGTCAGAGCAGAGATGCTTAACTTCTAGCTTAAGAAGTCTGGACTTATTTGTATAATTAAGGTGAGGCGTGTCATAGAAAGTATCTAAGACTTTAGAAAGTTTAATCTGGCAAAAGATTCTATGAATAAACTGACTGACCAGATTCTACGATGACAAACAAGTTTAACCCAATTTCCTTCGTTCTGAGAGCCAAAGGCAGTCTAGCAGGGGGGAAAATATTTTAACTGCACAGCAACGCAAACAGAGCATCCTCAGCATCCTCTGCTGTCAACTCATGAGTGAGGCTCCTGGGCTTAGCTCCTTATTCTGCTAATTGAGCTCTCACTGTGGAAGGATGAAGTGGAGGGCAGAGGAGGGCAGTGTCATGACTCTTCTGCCTTTTCTGTTTTCTCTAGAACTAGTAAACTATAAAGAGATTAAGAATAAAGAGGCCCGGGCGCCTGGGTGGCTCAGTTGGTTAAGCAACTGCCTTCGGCTCAGGTCATGATCCTGGAGTCCCGGGATCGAGTCCCACATCGGGCTCCCTGCTCGGCAGGGAGTCTGCTTCTCCCTCTGACCCTCTTCCCTCTCGTGCTCTCTCTCTCTCATTCTCTCTCTCTCAAATAAATAAATAAAATCTTTAAAAAAAAAAAAAAAAAAAAAAAAAAGAGGCCAGGCCCAGAATAAAGAGTCCAAAGACCCTTTAATAAAGTCACATCTGCTAGCCAGGGGCATGGAAAGGGGACAAGATCATGTGAAAGAGGTTGCAACACACAAGAGGATAATGATTGTTTTAATTTTATTATTTTTACTTTAATAACTGAAGCTCGTGACTGGAAATCTTAAAAACTCTGTTCTGCTCATAAAAATGGAATGTCCTAAGACTAACTGCAATTTAATGATTTATGGCATTGAAAACCAGTGGCTCTGCAAGACCAGACTTCTTTCTTTGGCTAGGTATCTGACTCGGTAAAGCTGCCCAACTTAGTCTAAGTGATGGGAAGTATACTGGCCAGTGCTTACCCTGTAATCTCCAACCCTGGTACCTACTATCAGCTAAATGTCTGCCCTCTATCCGAACCATATTTCTTTCCGACCCTCTGGATAATCTCTCAACCTCACATCAAAACAAACTTACCTCCACTCTATCTAGCTCTGTGTCCTACACCCCAAAATCCAACCTACTAGCTCAACCATTATTAGCAGAACACCATCTCCTGGCTCCCCTTTTTAACTCCCACTTCCTCTCCCAAAATTGTCCTTCTTGACCTGTACCGACTACTGACCGATTAAATCTACTACTGACAGGGGCGCCTGGGTAGCTCAGTTGTTTAAACGACTGCCTTCGGCTTAGGTCGTGATCCCAGGGTCATGGGATCAAGCCCCACACTGGGCTCCTGGCTCAGTGGGAAGCCTGCTTCTCCCTCTCCCTCTGCTGCTCCCCATGCTTGTGTTCTCCTGCTCTGTCTCTGTCAAATAAATAAAATTCTTAAAAAAAAAAAAAAATCTACTACTGACAGAACTAAACAAGCACCAAACCCAGAATTACAGGCCTCCCCTAAAACAGGACAATTGTTCTCAACCAACCCTCTGTACATATTACAATCTCCCGGAGAACACTGGAAAAATACAGACACTCATGGATCACCCCAGACCAACTAAATGAGATTCTCTGGGAGATAAAAAGATCAAGAGACTCGATACCTTCACAATATACAGGGAGAATAAAGTATGAAAGAGGAGAAGGAGAGAAAAAGTAAGAAACAGGGATATAGAGACTTGAGTTCTAGAATTTAAGGACAAATGATGGAAAGAAAGACATCACACAGCATTAAAAATAAAGCCATGACACACAACTCTTGCTTAGCTATTAACCTAACCTCATTTCCAAAAGCCCTCCACCCTTTTTTAAAGATTTATTTGAGAGAGAGAGCGCATGCACACGCATTGGGGGAAGGGCAGAGGGAGAGAATATCCAAGCAGACTCCCACTGTGTGGAGCCCCACGAGGGGCTCAATCTCACGAGCCATGAGATCAGGACCTGAGCCGAAAGCAAGAATCAGATGCTTAACTGACTAAGCCACCCAGGCACCCCCAAAAGTCTTTCTACGAATAACATCAAGGGTAGGCAGGTTTAGATAAGCTTCTAGTCAAGGTAAGGGGAACACGGTAGAAGGAGCTGAGAAAGGACCACGAACATGAAAGGGATGGAGAGATTAGCTTTCAGTTCTCGGATAGGTAGCAGAACAAAACAGGGGAAAGGTATATTACATATTATTCATTTGACTCAAGCCCAAGTCACTGACATGTTCTCTAAAATGTATTCAATTTCAGATACAGATATTGGCGTTAATTCTGAAAACACCTCTAAGAGAACTGACCTTGAATGCTATTGGCCTTCACAAGATGGGCACAGTCCATCAGGACTTCCTTTGGTATGTCTTCTATCTTCTCCCCCTGGAACATAAAAATAAAAGAGATGGTCCACTACCTTGTCACTGATCAATACTGGAGCACTTACAGGGCTTTACTGCCTTACTAGGCACAATTTTATTAAAAGCAGAGGCTCTTCACTGTATTTCAGAACACTGAAAAATGAAGTCTATTATGGGAATGTTTGAGAGAAGGCCGTACAAGAAATATGGAAAATATTAATACTTAATAAGTGAGTGAAAAGGGTATAAAAGAAAACCACCAAAGTACTAACTGTAATTATGTCTCAGGAACTTTCTCCTCTTTCTTGTCACTTTCTTCTCTTCATTCTTACTTCTGGAAACCTTGTGGGGAAATGGTGCCTATTTCTGATAACTGGAAGTCTTCTTTGCTGAGGTCCCTATGACCTTCCTTTCAAAGAGATATCTTATGGTCTTGAGTCTCAAACATCGTTTGAGGTAGGTCATCCATCAGCCTTAATTAGGAACCCCGCTCTTGGTGTGTTCGATATAACCACCCACCCTAAGGGAAAAATAATATTGACTCATTTTCTGTACAGATACTGTAACAAAGTCAAAGCTGAAAAAGCAAAGCCATTCCAAAAGAACAAAAATATTTCAAAGGCAGAGCAAGTGGGAATCACCCCAGTACTGGCTCCAACTAGGCATGGGATTAAAGCAGCACTTCCATACGGGAATGAAATGTGCCACCTACCTAAATAACTGGAGATAAATTAAGTTTATTCCATTACGTTTCAGAATTTTTTTTTGTTTCTTTTTAAAATGTTTTAAAATGAGGATCTCTCAAATACATAACACTGACCAAAAAAATACGTGATTTAAGTTTGCCACTACTTTAATGACATAGCTCATAATGTGCAATTCCCTGACCACTTTAAGAAAGGATTCTGATTTTAACATCTTGATAACGCAATGTCATTACTAAGAATATCAACCATTACACTAGGCCATAATATGGTGATAGTGATGCCTTCGGGAGGTTCAAAAATACACAGAGGCAGACTGACCCTATTCTAAATAAATCAACATGAGTAATTATAGAACGAAACAGCTACCACTTTCGAAGTACCCACCATGTGCCAGGCACTAAGTAAACAGCCATATGAAATAGATAGTATTATCTTCACTTTAGCAACGATGAAAATGACGCTTAGCAGGATTAAGTAACTGGGCCAGGATCCCCTAAATCTAGTAAGTGACAGAGCTGAGAGATGAACCCAGGCCCAAGGGTTGTACCAAATGACCCCAGAGTACAGTGCCTTTGGAATTCTTGTGGAAATGTAGTTTCTTGGTCCTGGATGTTAGCCTACATCCTCATATCCCTTCTTACTACCTGTGTCTGTCACTATTCCTGAAGCAATCTCATCTTCCTTTGGCTACTTCTAATATAATACAAGCAGACTTAAAAAAAAAAAAAAAAAAAACAATCCTTCAGCTTAGCGTTATGCATAAAGTCAGAGTGAACTCTGACTGGAGAGTCTGAGGTGCTCTCAATACGTAAATGTCAGAATTGTGACTGTGGGCTTTGTGCCATCTCTGTCAATGAGGTAAGAGACCTCTACATAGCTGAGGGTTTTCTATGGGTTTTCAAAAATCAAAGAAGCCTAGGAAAGAACACTGCTGAATATCTCTGATCTTCAAGGTCTGGGTTGAATTCAACTGAATTCAACAACCAGAAAGTTAACACATACGATGCCTAACATGTGCCAGGCCTTATTCTAATTGCTTCAGTCATACTAGCTCATTTAATCGTCACAATGGCCCAAGAAGACAGGTACTGTTAGCTCCCTTTTACAGATGAGGAAATGGGCACAGCTAGGTGACTTGCTCAAAGTCACACAGCTAGTACGCAGGACAGCCAGGGCTCCCCTCCAGCAGTCTGGGTCCCCAACCACTGGTTTTACTCCATCTCCAACACTCACTTGGTACCTACTGAGTACAAAAGGCTACGCCACTTACTGCAGATCAACCAGGTAAACGTTCCCTAAAGAGCACATATTTTTATTGAGCACATGATGTTGCTTCCAAAAGAAAATGAAATTAAACTTCTTTTCAAACAAGGAGTAACTGGTAGTAAGTGAACTTGGGACTACCACTATTATTTCCATTTTCTGACACAGCAGAGTCTAAAGGAAAAGAAAAACTTAATCTGAACCAAAAGGAAACTTGGTAACACCATACTCTATTTTCTCTAAACTTAAAAGAGTTCCAAAATGGCAAGAAGTTGCCAAGGAGAATTCAGACTTTTGTTCCAGCAGAGTTCACAATCTTCCTCTTTTTGACATAGCTCATGATGTGCTTTACAATACGGTTCTCAAAAACATAAACAGTATAAATAAAGATGGGGAACAGTGTATAACCTTGCTAATAGATTAAGAAGTGAATATTATAATCATAATGAAATAGCATCTTATACTTACTTAAAAATTGTCAAAAGGTTGCTATTTTTTTTAAGTTGTAAAATCCCAGGAAGGGTTTGGAAAACTTGTATATATCAGGTAGCATTTTAAACTAGTGCAATTATTTTTAGAGGGCAATCGGCCTCTGAAAGATTTACCAAATGTTTCTATCTTTTGGCTCAGTGATTCCATTTCTGAGAATTATTGTAAAAAACTTACTTTGAAAGAAAAACAGAATATGGTTCATAAAGAACATTTCTTGTTGGGGATTCATAATGCTGAAAACTGTAAACAACTTATATTCTGAAAGGGAGGTTTTGTATTAATTGTGGCATATTATCTACCAACTCAAAGCGGCCAGTCAAAACAATAAATACGAAAATAATATGGTAAGATGAAAAAGTTTATCACACTGTCACTTTAAAGAGTCATAGAATCAACTAGGGGAATTAACAACTGTAATAATACAACAGGATGGAATGTAAACAAAAAAAATCTAAGTGCATGGCATGACATCACTCAAAGGCGTGTGGTAAAAAATAGAGCAGCTTACAAGTAACTCTGGAAAACAGCATTTTGACTGGAAACTAACGGCAAAAAGACAAAAATAATTGCACATAAACACTGTACTTTAGTTGATAAAGTTGTATTGAATGGGGAGACAGCTTAACAAATCTGAAACCACTTACACAAATAGTGCAATCAAATAAGCAAATAGATGGTAGATGGTGGGAATCAGGCTTCTCGCTCTGAGAAGGAAGTAACAAAGAAGCAAGGAGAAAAGGCTAGAATGGCCTCTGTAATAATAGATTTGTCAAAGACTTCAGTATGAGCTCGTGTTTAGCTTAACATAGATACAAATGGAGACACAGAAACAAAGATTCACAGGAATTACTAACATGCGTTAGTATACCTACATGTAGTTCCTAGCTCTGTAGCTCATGTATACATACATGTAGTTCCTAGCCCTCTGACAGGGCCTAGAAGCAATGACACTCCAGGAGCAGTGAGCACAGCACATCCAGATCTTGGCTTCTAAACACCATTCCCCAATCAAAGGAATCAGGGTTCCTTGGAGAAAGGGCTGATTCAAGGACTGGGTCAGGGAAAATACAAGAAGAGCCCATAGCATCTTAGAGAGCCAGAGAGCAAGGAAGTGCTCAAAAACCAAAGGATAGGAGCATATCAAAGGAACACAGGAGCCAAGCTGAAAGAGCTCCAACTAAATCTGGGACAATTTCAGCAACCAAATAACAAAGAACTGGATTATAACCCCGAGTATAAAATAAACATATGAGTCCATAGTGATACAAATAAACTACTGTATTAAATATATAGGGGAGGGGTGCCTGGGTGGCTCAGTCGTTAAGCGTCTGCCTTCAGCTCAGGTCATGATCCCGGGGTCCTGGGATCAAGCACCGCATCAGGCTCCCTGCTCGGCAGGAAGCCTGCTTCTCCCTCTCCTGCTCCTCCTGCTTGTGTTTCCTCTCTCACTGTCTCTCTCTCTGTCAAATAAATAAGTAAAATCCTTAAAAATAAATAAATAAATATATATATATATATATAGGGGAGAAGAGATGAATCTTTCTTATATATGTAAATACTCCCCCCACTGCAAGAAGTAGAGTTTAATTCCATCGCCATCCCCTTGAGTATGGGCTGGACTTGGTAACTTGTCTCCAAATAACAGAGTATGGAAGGGGGGAAAAAAACAAGACTCCAGCGGACAAACCTGGCAAACACTGAGCTGGCCAGGAGATGAAGGTTAGCAACATCAGTGCTAAGTACTATTAATGCAGGTAGCCTTGACATGATGTGATGCGGAGGGCACTCCACCTTTGTGCTATTCTTCCTCCAAAACCCAGAACATTAGTCATGAGAAAAACATCAGATAAACTCAAATTGAGTGATATTCTGTCAAGAACCTGACCCGTACTTCTCAAATTGTCATGGTCATGAGAAATAGGGAGAGTCTCACACTTTCACAGTGTGAAACTGCCACAGACCAGAGCCTAGGCAGACATGACAATTAAACACAATGTGGGACACTGGGCTGGAGGAGGACATTAATGGAAAAACTGGTGAAATGAAAATAGAGTCCAGAGTTTAGTTAATGGTAATGTACCAATGTTGGTTTCCTGGTTCTAACAAATCTGCCATAATAATATAAGATGTTCACAATGGCGGGGGAACTAGGCACGAGGTATATGGGAACTCTGTATTATCTCTGCAACTTCTCTCTAAATCTAAAATCATTCCAAAGTAAGACGTTAAAAGAAAAAAGTACTACATATATCAAGTATATATACCCTATGATTCAACTGTATAAAATATAATATACGAGGGGCGCCTGGGTGGCTCAGTCGTCAAGTGTCTGCCTTCGGCTCAGGTCATGGTCCCAGGGTCCTGGGATCGAGCCCCACATCGGGCTCCCTGCTCTGCAGGAAGCCTGCTTCTCCCTCTCCCACTCCCCCTGCTGTGTTCCCTCTCTCACTATATCTCTGTCACATAAATAAATAAAATCTTTAAAAAAATAAATAAAATAAAATAAAATATAATAGAAGAAAGTAAAGGCATTAGAAAACCAGTGCTTTTGGGACGCCTGGGTGGCTCAGTCAGTTGGGCGTCTGCCTTTGGCTCAGGTCATGATCCCAGGGTCCTGGGATGGAGTCCCACATTGGGCTCCTTGCTCAGCGGGAAGCCTGCTTCTCCCTCTGCCTGCCACTCCCCCTGCTTGTGCTTACTCACTCTCTCTGACAAATAAATAAATAAAATCTTTAAAACAAATAAAAAATAAGTAAAGTCTTCTGCTCCAGAGAACACCTCCACTACCTCAAAAAAAAAAAAAAAGAAAAGAAAAGAAAACCAGTGCTTTTATGTTACTAGGAAACGTTGCATCTTTTCCCCTTACTATTCTAATGCTGTTTTAAATGTCCCAAAGAAGCCCCTGATAACTGGGAACATCCACCCTCGGTGAGGGAGTGTGAGAAGGAACCACACATGATCTCCACAGGAAAAGACAGAAGGTCCAGAATTGTCCACTGAAATGAAAGGGAGAGAGAGCAGAGGTGACAAACCACACAGCTGAACTGGCAGGATAATTACGCAGTGGGGACAGTGGTTCTAGCTGGGGTATATGGACTATGCCCCCTTCCAAGTATCCAAAAATCACCAGACTTTCCCTTAGTGATTTTCCAGGTCAGGGGTAAGACATCTCTTCATTTGCTGATTTTCCAACTTTTGTACATATTTATTACTTTAAGCAATTTAAACTGCAAAAAAAGGACAGAGGACAAGATAGGATGCTCATAGCTAGAGAAAAAGTCATGAGTCCATGTTTAAATCCAGTTACCTTATGTAATCGAAGGTATACATGAGCCGAAGAGAGTTTGTCCACATGAAACCTACAAAGAATGAAAACCACTTTTAGCAAGAGGTATAAGACAACCACCTCCTCAGACCCCTTGCCTTTAAAGCATTCCAGTCCAGAAAGTATTAACTCAGTGCTCACCACATGCCAAGCACCATAGGGAGTATAAAACACAGTCACCGCCTCCAAAGGTGGAGAGGTAAGATAAACATGGAAGGTTCTGCAGCTGTGTGAGACTAAGTGCCAAGATGAATACTAGAGACGATAAATGGAAATGCCCTGGAAAGGGTGATTTTTCCAGTGAGAAAGAACTATCCATGACCAAAGGCTTCATTGATGGACTGAGGTTTAGAGGGTCCCTGACTGAAGCATGGGACTTAGAGAAAACACAGAGAAAGGAATTTCAGGTGAGGAGAGAAAGGAATGGAAGAAGTCATCAAGACTGCGGTGTTGCAAGCCTGGGAGACTGGCAGGACCACGGAGAGAAATACTTTACAGCTGGGGAAGAGACACCAGTTTGGGGAAAAAAAGATGAGAGGTTTGGTTTGGGAGATCCTAAATTTCAAGCGATGGCAAAACAATCCAAAGAGAAGCACAGAGTTGGAAGAGTCATAAAATGGGTCAGACCAACAATTCATCCTGCCTCACATCTGACAATGGGCCTAATACAGGGCTTCTGGGAAAGCATGGGGGTTGCCCTTTATGATACTGTCCTAAAAACATCTGGAACGCCCTACCATCCCAATGTCCCAAATTTACCTTTTATTAAGCTCTATCATCTGCCAATTTAATGAAATCTTTCTAAACTTAATTCCTTTCTCACCTAATCTTAACGTTTTGAGATACTAAGTTTTTCATATTTATAATTCACCAAATAAAGTTGATTTTCTCTCTTCTCAACTTCCAGAGACACCCCCAGGACTCTAGCACCAAACAACAGTAACACATGATGGTCACTTAGGGATTCTGTTAACTTTACTCGTCTCTTCCCTAGTTCCTAACTTTCCAGGCTAAAGAGTTTTCAGTAAAAACCTAAGGAGGTATATATTTCTCTAGACATTTTCTTAGCAATAATGTATCTTTCAGAGGTGAAAATGGTCACACACTCACACCTAGTACAAGATGCAGACAGCGTGGTTCTATATAAATGTTAAGATTATGGTGTTCCCTCTTGAACAAGTTAAGCATCTTGTTAGTCACTTTGGATCCAGAAAAATACTACACTTTTTTGGCAGTCTATGATGACTCTAGGTTCTATTATTAACCTTTACTGCTAGCCAGAAGTGGACATTGATTTATTTTTCCCCAACTGGTTCATTTACTCATTCGCATTCCCATATAAGAGATTCCTACTGATTAGTGTCTTCAGCTCGGCCTTTTCCACTGAAAAAAATGTGTTTTTGCAAATCTGAAATTACATAGCTCATTACCCTCTTTTCAGGATCCTAGGATTAGAACCCATTAGGAAGCAAGTTCAGCTGAGAAGTAACTTCTCCCATTCCAACTTGTTTTAAGCCAGTTCTCCATTTACAACAACTCTTTCCTACATACCCACAGTAGCTCGATTGTATTCTGATTTTCCTTAAGAAAAGGTCTCTGATGTGGAATTTTGTCAAAAGAAACACAGAAATAATTCAATATACATCGAATGGAGTGATACATAAGTAGTTGAAATGCCAAAACACACAGGGAATATATCACTGCTGATACACAGACCAACTCCAGGCTGGTAGGTATACCTCTATAAACAAACTATGGTGAGCAAGTTTCCTTAAAAAAACCTTTCCAAACCTTCTAAAATGTTTACTCCAAAAAGTGTAAACCATGCCCAGTAGTTCCCTAGTTATTTTCCTCTCTCTACTTCATCACTGTTTTCTTTACTGAACGCAGAGACTAGAAAGCTCAATAAATGAGCATCAGTGACCGGGGGATGCAGAGATGCAGGCCCTCAGAAGCTGAGTCATTTAACTCCTGAAAGTGGAGTCCCTGGAAATACTGTTCATTAGGGAGGTTGGAGGCAGTAAACACACACTATTTCTATTTTCTTTTGTTTAAAGATAAATTCAGTTCCATTCTCACTTAGTCCCGGGACAATCCTTTGCTTAAAGGTGCCTCAGAAGGTTTTCTGGTATAATCAGATGCTCATGTTCACACAGGCAGAGTTCCAAAATTTATCTCAGAGCGAACCACGTTGAAAAACTGCCCCGGAATGTCGATCAACTGAATCATTCCTAGCATGCCCAGGAATGTTTCCAGGACTGACAGAACAGTCTTGACATTTAGGGCTGGCTATTCTACCTCACATTAGGCCTCGAATAGGTTCTAAAAGTGAAAGTCAATCACTTCCAACAACAGTCATTAGTCTCAAGGGTGTCAAGATGGCTATCAAGGTATCTGTAGACACCAATTTGGTTAAATAGCATTCCAGGAGATAATCAACCACAATGAAATAAAAAACCCAACTCAGAACACAGAGGGTGTATGTTATAAATTAGAAATTTCTCTTCCACTTATTTAATTAAAAAAAAAAAAGTCAGGTAAAAGGCTGTGGTAAATTGACTTTTGTGATGCATCTGAATATGTAACCTTTACTATGCAGGTACTTATGCCTCAAAGCTGACATGTTTAAAAATTCACAGCAGATAACTACATAACAGGTGTGGCCATTCTAATATCCCTTGACAGGATCTGGAGATCTTTGGGCTTTAAGGACAACTGAAATAATCCAGCTCGGTGACAGGTGCTCAAAATGGAGATACCAGAATGCAGTTATTATGAAGAAATGTCCAGGAGAGATCATCGCTAGAGAGGCAGAGAGTTAGTTAATTTTTCCTGAACGTGTACCATGGGCCAGGTCCTATGGTAGGGAATGGGATGTGGTAGTAAACAAAGTAATCATTGTCCTCATGACACATAGTCTAAAGTTCCAGGAAGGTAAGCAGCACTCAATCTAGAAGCCCTGGGCATTGCAAACCCCCCACCTGAGGTAAGGGGGTACAAAGCAGTGTCTACCTTGATGACACCTGATATTTGAGTTCAGAAGATAGGCCACTGTGCTGAAACAGGGGGGAAATTAAAAAAAAAAAAAAAAAAAAAAAAGACTTAAAAATTCCTCAGGTTTATAGTGCCTCTTGGTTCCTTTAGCGAGGATAAACAGGAAAGCATTTCCTCTGCATCATGAATTAGCCCCTCCATAATGGGGTAGGCTGGAGCAACAGAGGAGGAGCCCTTTGGTGGGTGTCTGCAGCTGGGCCCGGGGGGTCTGAGGATGGCCACATCTGGGGGGAGCTTAAGTTAGTCTCTGTGCAACAGTTTTCCTATTAAATGTCCAATGCTGTCCACTCTACTGAAAATCAAGCAGCTCTTTTTAAAAAGTGCCTAACCTCTGTGTCTCTAGGGAATTGAGTGAAGGATCCAGGCCCACACTTGGAGAAAAGAGGTCCAGAGAGAGCTGCAGCAATGGCCTGAGGGAGGAAGGAAGGCATCCTTAGCCAAAGAGCAGCAGCCGAAGGGAAGAAAGAAACTGGTAATTCAGAACTAAAGCCGGCTAGGGGGTGGGGGCAGCAACAACCTGAGCACATCTGTTCAGTTTCCCTCAGCCTTAGCTTCCTCATCTGAAAATGGGCTTAATACCAGTAACTCTTTTACAGGACTACTGTGAAATTAAATGTATTAATAAAGTAAACACCTACCAGGTACTTGGCATATAGCTAGGTATTCAGTAAGTGTTCATTATTATTATCGTTAAAACAAAGAGGATCTGTGTGCTTATCTTTAGGGATAGCATTTGGCCGGGGGTGTTTGGAGTTGTGGAGACCACACCCAGCTCTATATATAGAATTAGGCTCCAGGAGAGCGACATCACAAGAGTAGAAGCTGAAGACAGAAAAGGAAAGCAAACTGAGCTCGACAGTGTTACATGAAAGTCATGGGAGCCCATGTCCTCCTAAAAGGTTTGAGGTCCAAGTGGTAGAAATGCCCATATGGCATTCTAAGGCAGTTAGAAAAGGAAAAGAATTCAACTAAAATGAAGGAGTTTTTTGTTCATTGGTCATCGTTTTTTGGGCTGGGTTTTGTGAACAGCAAGAATAAATTATCTTGGAAGGAGACAAAGAGAGTATAATTATTATTCTTTAAATTTCCAGAAAATATTTTACAAAGAGGGAGTAGAGGCGGATCAAGACAGGGCTAACGTCATGAGGGAGTTGAGAAGACAAAGGGAACCCAGCCTGTGTTTTCTTTAAAGCTGGACCTAGTCAGATGTTCTATCTATTTCATTACACGGAAGTTTCTATTTTCCTCACTGCTACTTGTGAAGCCCTCATCCATCCTTCATCCTTTCAAGAAGAGTGGTCTGAGTGTTTGAGTGAGGTGGTCTCACTAGTCCACTATGAGAAGACCACACAGGAGGTTAAAGAATGTCTAGGTTCCAGAAGCCTCTATGGTCATCCCCAGTTTACACGGCAATTATAAACGAAGGGGGCTGGCAGGCAGCTACTTACCACTGACCATTCATAAACAAAATGCAAAGCAAGAGTTCTAGGTTTCATCATAAAAGTCAGGTGGTTGGCCAAATCTAAGAAAGTAAATAAGGCATAGAAAGGAGAACCACAGTTGTTACTTACCAAATATCTTCAGGCCAGCCATGCTTTATTAGATCTTCATCTATAGTGAGGAACAAGAAAACAAAGAAAAGGTTGAAAAACACCTGTCAAATGAAAATATGCCAGAGTTTATAGTAAGCAGGGGAGTGGAGAAATCCCAAGCCTTTCCACAAGTGTTTCTCTCCCTTAATGGAGGAAAGAGTAATTCAGAGGCTATGATGCTTGAATAATACAGGAAAAAAAATTTGTAAAAATGGTTTTTACATTTGGGCCATCATAATTGTTATTATTTTTATAATAATACTTATAAGAAACTTCAAAAATATTTCCATTAAAAGACAGTAAAACTTCAAATTAGAGCAGCTAAGAAGTTAGATGAGGTCCAAGAAAATTGATTCACTGTAAGAAACTTATTTGTTAAAATGGTTTTGCTAATCAGTGGACTGCATTTTACTTTTTAAAAAAGACCTCTCAATTATAAAATTGTAGAACATTGGAAGATAAAATAACCACCAGAAGTATAAAAAAGGAAATAAAAATCACCTAAAATTCTGTCACATACAAAAAGAAAAATAGAAGAAATAGCTACAAGTTAAAACTGTCTCTGTGGGATGGAACATGGGTGTTGGAAAGAACAGGGTGAAAAACTGATGTTTTTATGATACGCATTGTTACTATTTCAATTTTTAAGCTATGTATTAGATCAAAGTAAAATAAAAAATGAAAAAGTTCTTTGGAAACAATGACTACTTAATTCTATCATGTGAATAAACTTTTCTACTGTTCAGATTTGGATTGTTTTTAATTATAAATGCTTCAGTAAATATTTTTAAAATAAGTATGTCCATATTCCTGATTATTTCTTTCAAGGCATATTTATAAAAGGTGAATTATTCATTCAAAATGTATACTTTTACATTTTTAAGGCTAATAATATGTACCACTACAGAAAGGTAATATCAATATACATTTCCAATAGCCACATTAATAATTAGAAACTAATTGTGTTTAATACAAAAGCATTATTTAAAGTATTAGACAATGATTGATATGATGGTTTAAAATGTACCCAAGAGAGTATAATCTATCTAACTTGAAAGGTATTCATTTTCCAGAAAAACAAAAGGATGATAAATCTTGGATGAGGGTACTCTCAGAAACGGCAGACACCATAAATTTTCTGAAGGGCTTTCTACTAGCTTAAATGGGAAGCCGAGCCAATAGCCAACAAGTAATCAAAAAAAGTAAAGGGAAATATAAAAACCTATTTTCCTCAGTCAGGCAATGTTTGGCTCCCTGGTGACACCTACTGGCTAATAAAAAGAAAACATCTGAAAGCTTTTTAGTGAAAGTAAATTATTCAATTAAAAATTCATTTATGTTCCATCTAGTCATTTGTCTGAAGTCATCAAGGCTATTAGACATAAGTATGAAGTGCTAGGAGCACTAGAAAATGGGGTACTTTAAAAATGTAGTACCTTTCTTACAAAGCAGACTAGGAAAGCTGACACCTCCAAATGACTCCAAGTGGTTGGTCATGGGGAAAAAATGTTCTATACATAGATTTTTTTCTACATACATTTTAATGACAGCAAAATACTACACCAGTGGGCTCTGGAAAGAATCTAAATTTACATCTGTAGGCATAAATTGTGTATCTAGATTTATATCTGTAGATAACAAGTTTCTATAACCGACATTCCTTTAAATGGGCTGCAATCAAGCCCATCCTAACCCTTCTCCACGAAGCCTTCTTGGTTCTCTCCCAATCACATTTACTCTCTGCCCCCTCTACTGCTACAGCACTTATTCATATTGCCTCATTTCACCCATACTTTTTAAAATAGGCTTCATTTTTTAGAGAATTTTAGGTTCACAGCAAAATGACCCATTATTTTTGTGTGCACCTCTCCACCTTTAATGCTATAATAGCACAGACCACATCTTCCTCTTTGGCTACTCAGACAGGTTGGCATATGGCCCCAAGAAGATCAGCCCCAGCAAATCATAAACTAAAATGGAAGGAAAAAGGGACACGGTGGGAATGTCACTGGCAAAGCTGCCTTAGGTCAGTACCACCAGGAGCCCATCAGTGGGAAGCAGTATCAATGCTGTCCTTCACTGTAAGAAAATTCCCTGCCCAGAGTCACACAGTGCAAAACCCACACAACCGTATGTAGCAGCTCTCCTTTAGGTGCTTCTCAGTAACCTAAGTCTTGGGCTTGCATCCTTGATGTGGTAGAAAGAAAAGTAGATTTAATCAGGTATGGATCCATATCTACTGTAGGTAAGCAGGACTGGTTCTAACAGTGCCTCCTTGCTCAATCTCATACTAGGAGATAGCATCCCCTTCTCAGCCACATTCATCAGGAGGATGCAATGAAAAAAATACAAATTACCTATGATGATGTATGAGTTACTAGGAGAAATAGAAAACTCAAGTATTAATATACAGCAGACTGCTTCTCCATAAGTCACACCAGAGACAATGGCATAAATTCATTAAAAGAAAAAACTGTTTAAAAATTATTTTATGGTCGTTTTTGTTTTTTTTCTCTTGGATAGGATGTAATAGTCTTGCTTATACTGATTCTGCTTTATGGCAACCAGTATCACTGCAAAGTTCTAAACCATTTATATAGATCTGAATAATAACTATATCTATTTACACAGCTATTACGTATATCACATTACATATTTTATATATGCTACACTGTATGTGTTATATTAGATATGTGTATATGTTAACTATAGTTATATATCTATATATACTACAGTAATATATAACATTACTGTTCTTTGACATGTTTTCCTTTCTGGCTTTATTTATTTCATTCATGTCAAATGTCTCATACTGAAGAATGTTATACTTGCCTCTTTTAGAGAATCAAGTTTAAACTGTTGTCAGTTTCAAACTGCACCTAGAACAGACTGATGGTTTTAGGGCCGGGGGGGGGGGGGAAGCAATACCCGGAGGTTAAAGAAAAGTAATTAGAGGGAATTGGCCAGCTCTCAGATTACTGAAACGGTCACCCAGCCCTGGAGTGGTCCCAGGAGAGGGAGGAGCCAGTTCTGGAGAGCTAAAAAAACTCCATCAGTTTACTGAGCGCCCACCCTGGGCCAGGGGCTTTACTCAGGCTCTTCCATTTAACCCTCACACCCCTGCAAGGCAGATACTGGCCCATGATGCTCTCCTTACATCTCAGCAATGTGAGGTTCAGAGAGGTGAAGTGACTACAGCTAGCCTGCTAAGAGCTGGGGTTTTAACGCAGATGGGCCTGACTTCAGAGAGCTCTTTTCCAAAACATAACACTATCCCTGTGAGAAGAGCCACTGTGTTTTCTCCAAGCTTGAAGAAGAGTGCTTCTGTCAGGTCTCCAAGCTCCCCTGCCGCAGATCTTTTCTCCCTCAGCTCAGTACTGTCAACTCACTGCTCCAGAGCAAGCAGTTTTCCCTTTTAAACTTTAGTTCACATTGATTAGTGGGTCAAGAAATTAATTCAGCTGGTTGAGTTTAGCTTTGTAAAAATAAAACAAAACAGAAAAGAGGGCATAGCAAAGAGTATGGGTATTTTTTTGTAAATTTGTTTTAGTTACATCAATGTGTACAGTATGGAATTGATTTCATTCTGATGAGAGTGATCAACAAAGTTTGGAAAAATAATGTTAACATTTCATAACTCAAAAAGAGCCATCTTCAGCCTCAAAAACCCTAAAAGTATGTTTCCTCTATTCTTAAATGTGGTAAAACGTACAGAAAATGATCTTTTCAACCAAGTCACAGATGATTTTTACTTGACATAAGTTAGCACAGGTTAACCTCTAATTCATATCACCCTAAATCAAACGATACCACAAAACTCTTAGTAAAAGTTAAGTTTCTAATCAGCAACAAGTGGTCCAATAGGCCCCAATATTATTTGATGTAACTAAATTCTAGGAAAGTTAACACCCTGAAGTTCCTTATAATGGGCTTAACTAGTAGTAGTTAGCTGAAAACTCAAATCTGACCAACTGTGGGGGGTTGGGGAGAAGGCAGTTAACACTTACCTGATGGAAATTTCAAAATCAAATGCTTTTGAAAACTTACTTTCATATTTATCCTTTCCCATGTAAATAGTGTAAGCAGATGAGTTAACTACGACAAAACAAAAATATAAAAAACAGTTAGAGAACTTCATCCCCAACAAAACTGCTTCATGGGAAAAAAACATCACAAATGCTTCGATTAGACGTTGGCAACACATGGCCCAGATGCCAGATCCAGCCCTGTTTTTGGACAGCCCCCATGCTAAGAAATGACTTTTACATTTTTAAAGAGTTGAAAACACAAAATGAGGAAGAATAAAGCTACAGAGACTGTACTTGGCTCACAAAGTCTAAAATATTTAATACCTGGCCCAAATAGGACAAGTTTATTGACCCTTATTATAGAATAGCCACTTCCCTACTTTCATCAGGGATACAGTTCAATACAATTCCAGTTCGGTCCTATACTTCTGCCTTCTTCAAAAGAGCAAAAAAACAAACAACAACCCAACCTTCACCTCAACCATTTAAAAATAGGCTCCTATACTTTGATGAGTTTTTTCATAATTTTATTTAGGCAATATTAGTTACCTTCCAGGTATGTTGCATATTATAATGGACTATCCCATTCTGGGGAAAGATGGTTTTTCAAGCATCTTCTAAATCAGTGACTCTGAACCCCGATCACACATTAGAATCACCTAGTTATGTCCCAGCTCCATTAAGACTAATCAAATCCAAATTTCTGGTGGATAAGCAATGGTGTGTTTTTTTAAAGGCTCTTCAACTATTTCCAATGTGAAGTGAGTGTTAGGAACCAAAGCCTTAAACCAAACTGAATATTCTAGGTATGGCTTACCTTGGAAATGACATTTGCTTTACCGAGCTAGTGTCTTTTACTGCAGGCATACTCCATCTGGAGTCAAACAAAAAGTTAAGTTTCTGAAATTGAAATTCTATCTGGGCACTGGGTTTCCAAGCTAGTCTACCAAAACTTGTTTGACCCCATCTGAATCTAAACTCCTGAGTTAATATATTGTCACTGGGCCCCCCGTTTGGGCAGCTTGTTGGCTGTCACTCCAGAGCACAGAATTAGTACATGTGAGTGGAGCTCTGAAGGCCAGGGGGTAGCACGCTCATGTATAAATTCTTAAATTCTTAAATAAATTGCCTGTACTTTCAGCAATGAGAAGCTCTTTAAATTATCATAGTTGCCTCTCTTGGGGAAGGAAAATCCCATTTCCTTCAGTCAACAGTTATAATGACCACAACTCAAAATTACCTGGAAGTAGTTGAGAGAACTATCTGGAAAGGAGAGAATATTTGCACTGACTAGTTGACAGAAATACTTGTCTATAATTGAGCATTCCATTAGCTTGGTAAGGCCTTAGCATAGAGAACAGCCATTATAACAAATGGCAGAAGTGCAGAAATAAAGCCATTTCAGATGGTCTCTGCACAACCTAGCTTTATCCTATGTGTACACTCTTTGATCCTGTAATGTCACCACTAAGTATATGCTATAATTACTCTATCAAGCAATGATGTTCTTTTTACAACCTAAACACTCATTAAGACTGGTTAAACACTTGGTAGAACATCCATAAACAAAATACCACCTACCCACCGAAAACAAAAGGTAGAAATTAAATAACAGTATTTTTCTATACATACAGCAAGATTCAATTTGTAAAAAATGAATATACAGTTGTATATGCATGTTTACAACTAGATGCTTAACATATGTACCTATTTTCTTTATATGTATGGGAAGATATACATATAACTGTTAACAATACTTACCTTGGCTAGCTGGCTTACCAAACATATAGATGGTTTTTATAATCAGAACGAAAGTAATTTTTCAAATGATTAAAATAAAATAAAGCTGTTTGTGCAGGCTAAGCCATCTAAATTATAGCCAAGAGAGTGACAGACAATTGTTTGGATGGTTGACTATAAAATGAGGTGATTAAGAACATAACTCAAATGCAAACTGAGGGGTATTCTACAAAATAATTCTTCAACAACAGTGTCACGAAAGACAAAGACTGAGCAACTGGGCGCCTGGGTGGCTCAGTCGTTAAGCGTCTGCCTTTGGCTCAGGTCATGATCCCAGGGTCCTGGGATCGAGTCCCACATCGGGCTCCCTGCTGGGCGGGAAGCCTGCTTCTCCCTCACCCACTCCCCCTGCTTGTGTTCCCTCTCTCGCTGTGTCTCTGTCAAATAAATAAAATCTTTAAAAAAAAAAAAAAAAAAGACTGAGCAACTGCTCCAGAGTAGAATAGGCCGAAGAGTAATGAATGACAACTGAATGCAACAACGATTTGTAATATTCCTTTGTTATAATATGCATTATTAGGACACCAATGAAAACCGAATAAAAGCTGATGAGTTAATAGTATTGCTGCAATGTTAATTTCCCAATTTTGATAATGAGGAATGCTTTTTGATAATAGAACACCTTTGATTTTGGGGGGGGGAAACCCTGAAGTATTTAGGGGTAAAATGTGACAGACAAATGGCTCAAGAAAAAATGTGTGTGTGTGTGTGTGTGTACACGTGTGCACGCGTGTGTGGAGAGAGGGAGATGAAGAAAAAGAAAGAGGAAAAGAAAGAAATAAGTTCTAATGTTAGAATTTGGGGGATCTGAGAGGTTAGAAAGGAAATCTATTTTGTAACTTTCCTGAAAGACCGAAATTAGTCAAAATAGAAAATTCAAAATAAAAAGGAGCAAAACTGCTGAGCAAGAAGTCTGAATGAAGTTCCTGTGTATGTTAATAGGGATAAAGGAAAAGTAAATTGAATTATTCTAGTACTTTTGTTACTCTTGCCCAAAGAATAGGGTTGATTAGTATGGAAACTAGTCATCTTAAAGGTACCGGATTCAGGTGTAGCAACCAATCCAACTTTAGAGGCTCTGTGATAATTTCATAATTTACATAACAATCTATCTTGAGGTAGATGCAATTAAAAGGTACTAAAAGTACAGATGGACTTAATGAGCCAAGTGCAGATACTTCGTGGGTCCATAAATCAGATGGTCTTGAATTTGACAGTGGAAATACAGTAAGGCTAATGTTTCACTATTCCCTTAGGACAGAGCATGAAAACATGAATAAAGTTTAAGAGATTTTAGTTGGACACTAATTTTAAAAGGAAAGGCAAAAACTTTGTACTGAGATTTTCTCCCCATTTAAAAAAAGTTTTTATACAGTAAACCCTAAGTTGGTTGAAAAGCTTGGCTAGCTAGATGAAGTCATTTCCTGAGGATTCTGTATGTTCAGGTTGTTTTCTCTAATGGAATATGTTAAAGTTTTATTACTATTTTACTGACAGTTATAATTTTTTCATTAACTTTGCAATTTTATTTTTTAAAGATTTTATTTATTTGAGAAAAAGAGAGAACGAGAGAGAGCTTGAGAGAGGGAGAGGGGCAGGCGGAGAGGGAGAAGCAGGATCCCCGCCGAGCAGGGAGCCTGATATGAGCCTCCATCCCAGGACCCCGGGATCATGACCTGAGCCGAAGGCAGACGCTTAACCGACTGAGCCACCCAGGCGCCCCTTTTGCAATTTTAAAGATTTGCTGCCCAGGTACGTTTTTGTTAAACTTAAAGTCCAAATATTTTTCCAACAGGAAGCAGTTCTAACCTTTTAATGGAAGCCAATGAGAAAAATATGACCCATAATCTTCTGAAACACTGTTCTATTACAGGCATCTTTGTAAATATGAATATAGCTCAAAGAATTTAGAATGGCTTTAAGGAGAATAAGGCAGCTAACATAAAAAACATGTAGTACCTATATACCCTGCCTGTATTTTTTATTCCATTGTTGGGCTTCTTTGGATACCTATGTTGTTGGAAACTCTCATGAGTGGAGAAGCTAAAAAGAGATGTTGGAGTTAGGACAAAGTGTACAAACAAAGAGGGAGGACGCTATTAGGGGCCTATAACGGCTTTTCAGGCTAGTGTGAATTGTTTCTGGTAATTTTAATAATATGGGTAAGACAAACCAAATCTATAAAGGCAGAGAAATGGTTTATGGCACACTGTGGAAGTCTAGACTACTGAAAAAAATAATGAGATGTGACAGTGTGATGGAATGGGGGGGCAGTCCGTGAGCAAATTCCCTGGGCCTTAATGTTCTCATTTTTAGAGAAAGTATCATCACCCTATTCAACAACATGGGGCTAGTTTCGCTTAAATCTCACGTTTAACAAACAAGCAGAGAGAGTAACAATAGAATAGTATGTGCTATGACTAAGTCAAAAAAATACCTTTATTCAACAAGCATTTATCAACTACTATGAGCCAGGCACTAGGCTAGGGAAACAAGGAGATCCTGCCCCTGTCCTCAAGAAGCTTACGCTCTAGATTAAGCAGACAGCATTTAATACCATATGATAAGAGCAATACCAAAGATACACACGGGGTGTAAAGAGAGTCCCCTAAAGAGGTTTAACTAAGCAATCTCTGGGTGGGAGTTAGGTTGGGAGAGTCATTTGTAAAAGATGAGCCAGCGCTGTCTTTCGGGAGTTAATGGGATTGATCAAGCAAAGGGAACAACATACGCAGAAAAAACGAGGTCAAGACATAGCACTTCCTGGGAACTAAAAGCACGCTCTCCTTGGCTGCCAAAGACAAATCAGAAAACACTATCATATGTCAATTTTTGAGATCTGGGACGTCAACTCTGCCCAGTGAGTGGCTGTACCGCCACTCCACGGTCTTTTTATTGTTTTCTGTTGCATTCCAAGACCTACAACGCTATCCTAGAAGGGTAGGACGCACTTCCTGGAAGGCAGTGTGGTTGGCAGGTGTCTCCTTTCTCCCACAAAGTGGGTAATTACCAGGACGCAGTGAGAATAAAGGCCAAGGAGGTGGGAGTGACACCTGCGACGGGGGGGTAAAGAAGCCCACAAACTCTGCCCAATTCCAGGTAGCGAAGGGAGGTCTTTCCGAGAAAAACAACTCTCGGATGCAAAGACAGCAGGGCTGATGGTCCATCTACGCTCCCCCAGGCCCTGACAAGGGGCACACGGGGACGACAGGGACGGACACAAAGTGGGGACCAAAAGGGCGCAGGAAGAAGCACCCACTGCCGAGGAGGAGCAGCTTTAGGATGAAGTTCAGGCTGAACAGCAGCTTGGGGGTCCCGGCTTCGGAGCCCCGTTGTCAAGCAGGGATGGAGGAGGTTACGGCGCCCACTCACCGCTGTTGCTGGTAAAGTAGAACACCATGATCCCGGCAGCGGCGCAGATACTCCAGCGCGAAACAGAAGCAACTCAACTCGACAGCTCAGGATACCAGAGAGCGGAGGCCGCCTGTTTCCCGGAACTCCTAGCGCACTTCCGGCGGACGTCGGGTCGCGTCATAACGCCAGCCCCTTGGCGCCATCTTTAATCCTGGCGCGGGGGCGGGGTACGGAGGGGTGCCGGTGGCGGGGGAGGGTGCAGGCGCGCTAATGGCATTTATTGGTTGGGGGGTTGAAGAAGGAAAGAAGATGGAGCTAGGACAATTCGTGGTTGGGAAACGCAGCGGGGAAATTCTATCTTCTTTAAAAAGATAAATACCTTTGGCCGACTTTATTTGTAGAATCTCCATCGAATCGGCTGTCCTATCTTGAGGCCTATCTGTTGGTTGTATTTGCTACCCATCACCCGCTGATGGGCTCCCTGACAGCCTTGAAACCATTTGCCTTCTTCATAGATAGGCGTTCACTGCGCCAATCACAGTACTTGGCACGTAGTAAGAGCTCATTTTATTTTGAAATGAACGCGAATTCTTCCACTATTCATATTCTAGCTCCACCACTTGTAAGGCGTTTGTTGGGCACATTCTGTGCTTCACTTACCTGATCTGCAAAATGAAGATGAATAGAGCAACTCATTCATAGGTTATTTTTCTAAGGTTAAGTAAGTTAACAGGCGTAAAGGGTTTAGAACATAGCGCTCAACTAAAGTGATTTGCTAATGATATTCCACAGAGGCATATGCTTCTTGGGGTTTGGACTCGGGACTGTTCTACTGTTAAATCTAAGATCGGCCATCTATTACCTCTGTGATAGGGCAAATTCCAAACAAATGAAACTTAGAAATCTAACTGCTTTTGTCAAGTGGGAATAATATTACTTATATAAAGCTCCCAGCAGTTAGTTTTGACCTGATTATTTCTCTTCACTTCGACAGACTACATTCTATGAAGTAAAGTGCATCCTTTAACTAAATTTATTTAGAACTAAAAATGTGCCAAAGACTACCAGGATCTGGTGACACAAAGATAATAACAGTAGCTGACAACCCGTGGGTACTTTAAGAACCGTATGGCTTCCCAAAGCAAGAACCTAGCTGTATTCTATAAATAGTACTGGTTTTCAGGCCCTCGGTTTTAGTCTCAGTAAAATGGGAATGGTAATACATATCTCACAGGTTGTTACGAGAAGTAAATGAAATAAAACTCGTAAAGGGTGTGAGACTGCCTGGCACATCACAGATGCTTAGAGCCATGATTTAATTTTTTTAATTTAAGTTGAAATATAAAAAATGAACAAGAAATCTAACATTTTACTAATAAAAAAAAGTTAAATTAATGGACAAAGCTTCAAATGTGAAAGATAACTGCCTCGAGAATCTTGGGGAGGCTACTTTACAAAAACATGCTAAACCAAGTAACCCCAGAAGGTACCTCGACCGCAAGAGGGTGACTTTATTTTGCCGAAAACTACAATTCCCAGAATGCATCTAAACCAGACCTCCCTACCTCGAGAACGGAGCCTGGAGCTGCCGCAAGGGATTATGGAAGGCGTGGATTCCTTGCGTGAAGAGAGCATTTCACCTGCTAAGGGCGGGAGAATCTTGGAGACCACCTCCCGGATAGGCGGGGCAACGGCTAGGAGCGACCAATCACCGAGCCAGCCCTTGGAAGGTCTGAAAAGCGGCGAATCAGAACGCAGCAGCTTCAGCCTTCACGGGCGCGCGGTAATTTGAATACAGTGGAGGAGAAACTGGCTCCTGCAAAGAGAGGTTCCCGGCTTCGAACCTCAGGTAAGAGCTGCGGGGGCCGAGGCGTGGGGCGGAAGACTGAGGAGAACCGGAGATTCTGTGGAACGTGCGGGTGAATGTCAAGGAAAAAGACCTTTTAGCTCAGGGCTTGGCGCCACGGCGGCTCAAGACCGAAACCACCCGGGGTTTTTCCGCACTTTGAGGTCACCGGGTTTCCATTTTTCTGACTTAGGGTTTCCTTGTCTATTTGCCCTGACAAGGTTCGGGAACAGGCGCGCTTTTCTGTCATATCTTTCCTCATTCAGCCCCAGAAGTGTCTTCTCTTAAGCCGCTACTCGACATTGAGTTCCAGGGACCTTGGTTTTCTGTTTCACCTTGAAATCATATTTGTGTATTATTTTTCTTAATGTACCTGATCCGAAGGAAGGAGAAGAAACTACTGAGCAACATAACCAGGCTCTCTCATGCTCGAGAATTAACGTGCATGATTGTGTTTATTTTCAGCAGCCGGAGGAGGTCCAAGTCTTTTATAAACAAGGAACAAGCGGCTTGTTCTAGGCTCTTTAGTAAGATGGGAGAGGATTATGCTAAACCCGTTTTCTTGCTGAACTCTGAAGAAAAAGCTAGAAACGGTCTCTGCTTCATTGAGCATTCAGGCTGTTGAGGAAGACAGTTAAACCAACAAGAAAATGTGTTAAATGGCGTATTAAGGAAGTGTGGGGTCTGGTGAGGGAAATCAGCAGGGAGATATCCCAGTAGAGCATTTAAACTTGGTGTTAATTAATCAGGCTAACTAAAGGGGAAAATGTGTCCTGAAATGGAATTTAAGGGCGCCTGGGTGGCTCAGTCGGTTAAGCGTCTGCCTTCGGCTCAGGTCATGATCCCCGAGTCCTGGGATCGAGCCCCGCATCGGGCTCCCTGCTCCGTGGAGAGCCTGCTTCTCCCTCTCCCACTCCCCCTGCTTCTGCTCCCTCTCTGGCTGTGTCTCTCTCTGTCAAATAAAAAAAAAAAAAAGAAATGGAATTAAAAAAAAATACTTCCTCCTTGGTAGGATCATTTTCCAGCTTGAAACAGATGTACTAATTCTGCATTTCTTTCTTCTTCTTAATTGCTCCGGTGATGCAGTGTTTTCCTTTTTTTAATTTATTGTTTATTAAGTGTTCATTAAAGTGATTTGCTTTTTTTAATAAGCTTTTATTTTTTATTTATTTATTTAAAGATTTCATTTATTTGACAGAGAGAGACACAGCAAGAGAGGGAACACAAGCAGGGGGAGTGGGAGAGGGAGAAGCAGGCTTCCTGCGGAGCAGGGAGGCCAATCCGGGGCTGGATCCCAGGACCCTGGGACCATGACCTGAGCTGAAGGCAGATGCTTAACGACTGAGCCACCCAGGGGCCTCAAAGTGATGTGCTTTTTAAAATACCTCATCCATCAAAAAACTTTTTCAAACTCTAAAAGTATAATTTTGATATAGTGATTTTTGTACATATTGGATAAATTTGGTTATTATAATTTTCCTATTGCTTTTAGGAGTTCAGTTAAGAAGATGTCAGCTTTTACTCCAAGAAAAAGGAAGCAGCATTCTTCGAACTATGACAAGTGAGTCTCATCCTGTGGTTAGAAGCTCTTAAAAAAAGAAAAATCCACCTTCTTGTCTTTCTTATAGTCTCTCTTCTGTTTCTTAAAATTTCCGTGATTCCACTTGTCTACTCCTTGTGGCTATGGTAACATTTTATATTCTAATTCTAATCTGGAAATACTGTAAGCTTGCAAAATTAATTATTCAGTGCCTTTGGAGAGAATCAGAAAGAGCTGTTTTCTGTGACTTGGAAATGTATGTCAAATCTTTTATTATCTTGCTCCTTTCTGTCCTCTTATATAATAATTAACATAGTGTTTTTCATACAGTACTCTTCTGTGAGCGATCCTAGAAAATCTGTTGACTCAGTGCTTACTCCATGTCATAATAGGAGATAAATTACTCCCCACAGAACAGGCTTGAGGGGGTCAGTTTATTACATAGAATTAATAATTTTAGGGAACTTGTAACCAGTCAAGCGTGGTGAGCTCTGAGTATATGGCCAAAACTTAGAAATAGATTTTAAAGCGCATGCACACACACAATATCAAAGCTTTTTTTGTTCACAGTGTTTGCTTTTGCAAGCATTATTGGGACTTTTGAAAAATATTTGATTTGGTAAAGACATAATTTGAGAATCCTATTGTTAAACTAATAGATAATGTGTATGGATGGGTGTTTGGTAGAGAGGATGTATTGTTTTTAGTATGACCTACAAGTATGGTTGTTTATTACTTAGCAGTAGATTGGCACAAAATTGAAGCAAAATGATACTTAAAATTGGACCTTGTTTCTTTTCATAGCCTATTATCAGACATTCCATCAAAGAAATTAATTTTGGACTTTGCTGAAAATATATTTTCATCACCTGATCAAAATTACATTTGCCAAAGCAGTGATAGAAATGAAGAAAATGTACATTGCTCTCAACAGGGCCATTTCCTTTCAAGTCCACTCAAAACAACTAAAAAAAACAGACTTCCACCTGCAAATCAAGGTTCACCATTTAAATCTGCTGTGTCTACTGTATCCTTTTACAACAAAAATAAGTGGTACCTCAACCCATTAGAGAGAAAACTGATAAACGAGAATAGGTCCATTTGTCTAAAAACTAATAATGAAGACAAATCTTTTCCCGTGGTGACAGAAAAAATGCAGGGAAAACCAGTCTGCTCCAAGAGGTCGAATAAAAAACCGCAAAAGAGTTTAACTTCTAAATATCAACCAAAGTATAAATGCATCAAACCTCTATCAAAGAATTCTAAAAATTCCAAGCAAAATCGAGTGGCCTATAAGCCCATTGTAGAGAAAGAGAATAATTATTATTCAGCTCAAAATAATCTGAATGCTCCTCGGGTTCTAAGCCAAAAAGTCAAACCACAAGTTACACTCCAGGGTGGAGCGGCATTTTTTGTTAGTAGAAAGAAGCCCGGTCTTAGAAAATCGACTCTGGAAAACAAGCCATTACTGGGAGTCACACAAAAGAATATATCAGAAGTGATCGAAGATTCTGATTTAGAGACTGTCAGTAAAAGAAAAACTTTTGAGACAAGGCAAGTGCCAAAGTGCTTGTTACTAGAAAAAGAACCAAGCGTCGAGCTGCTTCATGAAAGAAGTAAAAATGAAGAGAAATCAATAAAGGTAAAGAAAACCAAATATGTAACTTTAAAAACTAACTAAAACTTCAGTATATGTAATATATATATATGTATATACATACATATATATATATACATATATATATATAACGTGGTTGAACCAAATTTTATTTTCTTTATAGTCCAAAGGACTGTTTTATGAAGCTGAATAGTATATTTTAATCATTATAAAGAATTTAGGGGCAGGGTGGAATGATGGGACTTTTCTCTCTTTTTTGGCTTAAGGAAGCCTACAACATTTTCCTGCATTAAGATATGCATTTCATTAAATCCCCTTATTACTAAAGTCCAGAGAAACTTAGCAATTTTTACTTGGTAGTATTTTTAGAAAGTAGAAATAAAAAACTAGGGTAGTAGTTTTAAAGTATATGAGCATATTGCTTTTATTTGTTTCAGCTCATTAAAGTGCTAGATTCTAGAAAATTTAGAGAAGACAAAGTATTTTTTTTTATACCTTGTTCTTGCTGGCTAAGCCATGACATTCTGATTTTACTCATTCTTCCTATTTTTTCTGCCAAAAAACACCCCCATATCTTGACTGGAGTTTTGGGTTTCAGTGATATAAGTGTGTAAGTTTATCAAAACTGATCAAATTGTATGCTTTATATCTGTGGACTTTATGTAAATGTACCTCAGTTTTTAAAAATGCACAATTCAGGCTAGAATTCTCAGTTTAGCAAAACAAAGTGGCAGTGGGGGGGGTGTCTGCATTTCCATCTATCCATCTCCTGGTTAGTATTCTCCCTATCTATTTGGTAATAAAGATACAGCATTTATACAATGACATGATGAATTCTCTGCAACACTCTATTCTGCCTTATTTTCTTTTCTGAACTTCATTTTGTGGGGCTGGGTATTGGGTTCTGTCTAGTTTTCAGTAATCTTTGAGAAGCTGGGCTTTTGCGCCTCTTAAATTTGTGGAACTGAACTCTGCTCAAGATTCTTAAGATTTTGTTAAATACCCACTACTAGTATTCATCTCTCCTAGCCAAGGATGAATCCTCTTTTCATTAGTGGGTACATCACCTTTCCCCAACTCATTATGGAGCCCTGAGAAATGGTGAACTGATGCATTGTCCCATGTCTACTGAGATGTAATGGTCTTGAATAGGAGTTCTACTTTAATCAAAAGGGGTTTTTTCCTTTCCTCCCAAGCTATATATTCTCTAAGCCTTACCAGATTAGTACTGTTAATGAAATACTTGAGAATGTTTCTACTTTGTTTTTCCCCCTTCCCTGCTACTGCCCAACAAGTGGGATTTAGAAGCCTCTCCAGCTACTCCAGAGTGTTCTTTTTTTTTTCCTGCCTGTTTTTAAAGCTTATGACAGAAGGTTGTCCCTTCCAGTTTGGTGGCTGCTGGGGAAAATTTTGCCATTTTTGCTAATTTTTTTTTAATTCATTATCATAGAAGGGATGTTTTATAATCTTCAATCTACCATCTTTATCAGGAAATGTAATACATTTTTGACAGGATGACAAATTACAGTATTAAATATGTGCACTCTTAAAAGATTATGTACATTTAGTAAATATAGAGGAAATTTTACCTAAAGTAGTCTGAAAATTGATGATTTAAAATCAGTTTAAAAGTGTAATTTATAATAAACTAGATATTTTGCTTTAGGAATAAATATTGGGATTCATTCATGAGATAGGAAATAATTAAGAATTATAAGTTTCCTTTAATTTTTCCCTACTCATTTTTTTCAGGATTCATTAGGTGGAGTAGTTTCTTTACGAGAATGTATGCCTAATGAAAATAAGTGTTTTCCTTCAGAGGATTCTCTCAGTGAAAACAAGGCGGGTAAGTAAGAGAAAACTTCTCAGAATGAGTTTATTTACTTGTAATGATAATTCATTAGTATCAATATGGAATTATACACAGTAATATGTTGGGGGTTTTTTTATTCAGTATGTTTGCTTGTGTTTGTATCTTTGTGTTTGTCTCAGTGACACTGTTTTCTAGGGTAAGCAATGCGGTGCATTTTGAAGACAAGGAGACCTCGGGCTGGAATTTAAGACAAATACTGATGCATAGGTGGTCTTTGCGATATGGCCAAGTTACTTAGGCTCCCTAGAACTCAGTCTTCTCATCACACCCGCTCTACCTATCTTTTACCCAAAATAATAGGAAGGACTAAAAACAACTTATGTTATATATTTGTGATCAAAGTCCTATTGTAAGTAAGCATAATTTACGAAGCCATAGGAAAGGACACTGAATTGGGCATCAGGAACCTTGGGATTTTGTCTAGGTCTGCCACTAATTAACTGTGTGATCTAGGGAGGAGATCTCTAAAGTAAGGGGTTAGTCTTCATTTTTTAATTTTCTCTTAGTTCTGAAATCCCATTACTAACTCGTGGTGTCACTGTTCAAATAAACAGTATTGACTAAACTATGAATATATATAGAGGTTAATTAACATTTTATTTACCAACCAGATTCTTGGTAACTTTACCTTGTTGGTTATATCTGTAATTTTGGAAATAAATTAAAATTCTAGGAGTATATATGTTGCCTATAGTGAGAAAACTGCAGTTCATAGGAAGAAAACAAAGATAAAACTAAAAGCATAATCTGGAACAATAGCGCTTAACAGGACTAAATGATATATATAGAAGGATTGTTCATAATGATAATCCTGAGATTCACTGTTAGTAACTAGTATTTACTAGGTGCTGAATATGTACCAGGCAGTGCTAAGTGTTTAGTATGTGTTATGCTTCACATGGGTTGTACTATTACTGATATAATGCAACATGTAACAGAACAATAATGGCTTTCTCTTTACAGTAGTTGTAAAGTTTTCTTTTAAAACAAATTTATTTCAGAAAACTAAATTCATTTAAAGAAAAATAACGAATAAAAAATAATACAGATGGCATAAGAATATGGCAAAATTCACAAAGGTAGTATACAAATGGTAAAAGTTGATTACTTCATAATTAGTTTATCATTTCTCACAACAACCCTAGGAAATGGGTGTGTATGCCCATTTTATAGAAGAGGAAAGAGACTTAGGTTAAGTAACTTAGCCACAGCCGATCAGACCTGTTTTGGCCTTGTTTCTAGAGAATGAGCTCTATTTTTCAATGCAAAGTTAACAGTTTGCTTTTTGCTACATAGCCCACTTGCAACATATTTTTCTCTAGGCAACTACTATTTTAACTTTGGTCTTTAAAACTTTTTTTGTTTTAAGATTTTATTTATTTGACAGAGAAAGCAGGGGGAGCAGCAGAGGGAGAAGCAGGCCCCCCACTGAGCAGGGAACCCGATGTGGGACTCGATCCCAGGACCCTGGGATCATGACTTGAGCCGAAGGCAGATGCTCAACTGACTGAGCCACCCAGGCACCCTGGTCTTTTTTTTTTTTTTTTTAATAGGCTGTTTATTGTGCAATAATTTTATTTTTTTAATTTATGTATTTTTTTAAGCGTTTTATTTATTCATTTGAGAGAGAGACAGAGAAAGTGAGAGAGAGCACAAGTGGGGTGAGGGGCAGATGGAGAAGCAGACTCCCCGCCGAGCAGAGAGCCCAATGTGGGGCCCGATCCCAGGACCCTGGGATCATGACCTGAGCCGAAGGCAGATGCTAACTGACTGAGCCACCCAGGCACCCCAATAATTTTAGATTTATAGAAGAGTTATAAAGACAGTGCAGAGAGTTCCTATATGTCCCTCACCCCATTGTTACCATCTTATATCTCCATGGTACTTTTGTCAAAACTAAGAGACTGGTGTTATTAGTACGTTACTATTAACTAAACTCTAGACTTTATTTGGAGTTCACCAGCTTTTCTATTAATGCCTTCTTTCTGTTCTAGGATCCGGTCTAGGGTACCACACTGCATTTAGTTATCATGTCTCATTCGTCTTCTCTGGTCTATGACATTTACAGTCTTTTGCTTATTCCATGCTTTTCATGATTTTGACGTTCTTGAGGAGTACTAACCAGTTGTCCTATACAGTGGCCTTGAATCTTGGTTTGTCTGATCCTTGTCTCATTAATAGACTGGACTTACAGGTTTTGGGAAGAATGCCACTAAGGGGAAGTACTCTTCTCACCACGTGACATTACAGATGATGTTAACCTCTGTCATTTGGTTAAGGTCAGGTTTGCAGGTTTCTCCCCTGTAAAATCACTCCTATTCCTTTTCCATACTCTGTTCTTTGGAAGTAAATCACTAAGTTTAGCCCGTCCTTTCAGGGAGGGGATTAAGCTCCATCACCTGGAGGGGGAAATATTTACATATTTATTTGGAAATCTTCTGTAAAGTGTTGTCTCTTCTCTCCTAATTATTCAATCTTTAAATGGACTCATGGACACATATTAGTAAGGACTCATAAGTATTTTATATTTTGGGTTATAATCTAACACTACAGTATTCATCCTGTTGTTCAGATTGTTCTAGCTTTGACCATTGGGAGGTCTTTTCAGGTCATCTTCTTTGGCATGTCCCGTCCTTTTGTTTTTTTTGAGCACTTCTTTATTTTCTCGCACTACAGGATGCTCCAGGCTCCTCTTGAATCTCCCTGCCCCAGTCCTAGAATCAGCCATTTCTCCAAGGAAACTGGTTCTGTTGGGTTGCTCCTGGAGTATCATTGCTTCTAGGCCCTGTCAGCAGACAGCTAGGAACTACATGTCTGATGCTAATGCATGTATGCACACATATCTCTAGTTGTTCCTGTATCTCTCCATCTGCACGTTTACTAAATGAACACAAGTTCGAACCTGATGTCTCTGACTCTAATCCAGTGCCTCAGGGTTTATCCCTTTCTTGTTTATCCATAGCCTCCCATGGACAGTGAAAAACCTGGTTCCCACTATTCACTGTCCACCCACTTAATTGTTCAGTCCCAGGACACCTGCACAGTATTTTCAGAATTGTTAATTCACACTCCTGTGAGAAATACTTACCAGTTAGAATATGATATTTACAGTCCTTTTGTCTTTAGCCTTATAATTTCTAGTTAAAACAGTTTTGTAAAGTTCCTTAGATCAGCTGCCTATTCTTCCCCTACCTCTTTCATTGCAGTTATGCCATGCGGTTCTGATATACTTACGTGCATTTGTCCCAGTCTGCGTTCCATCTTGAAATCCCCCACCATCACGGCTGATGTTTAAATTTGATAAAGTTCAACTTAATTAATATTTTCTTTCATGTATTGTGCTTTTGGTGTTGTATATAAAAACATACCCAAACCCAAGTTCATGTGGATTTTTCTCTTACATTTTCTCCTAGAATTATATAGTTTTACATTTTACATATAGATCCATGATCCGTTTTGAGTTAATTTTGTTTTTAAGATTTGGTTCATTTATTTATTTGAGAAAGAAGGAGCAGAGGGAGAGGGACATGCTGAGTGCAGAGCCTGACGCTGGGCTTGGTCCCACAGCCCTGAGATCATGACTTGAGCTGAAACCAAGAGCCAGACACTTTAACCCACTGAGCCACCGAGGTGCCCCCCATTTTGAGTTAATTTTTATGGAAAAGTATTGTCAGGTTTTTTTTTTGCATATGACTGCCCAATTGTTCGAGCACCATTTGTTGACTATCCTTTCTCCATTTAATTAACTTTGCCTCTTTGTCAAAAATCAGTTGGCTGTTTTTGCGTGGGTCTGGTTGGGGCTATTTTGTTCCATTAATCTATTTGTCCTTCTGCCAATACCAGACAGTCTTGATGATCACTTGTTAAGTCTTGAAATGAAGTGACTTGAATATTTTGGTCATATTAACCTTTAAATATTTATGATTTAAAGCTTTGGGTTTATTTTGTAATATAAATTATTGTCATTTTTTTCCCCTACCAGTTTCTCCTGAGTCCATTGTCTATCCCATCTTCAGTGTGTCTTCGGTCAATACAAAAAGGTAGGGATTGCTCTTGTTTTAATGTTTAAGGTTTATGTAATTTTGAGTCCTTTGGGTATCTTTCTTTTTTGCACTATTTAATTTGGAGAATGTATTTTTTCTTCCCCACTTAGGGGATATTGAGAATAAGATGAAATCAGGCCCTCTCATAAAAACTTCATAAGAACCTAAGAGTTGAGAGAAGGGAAAAATCTTTATGGATTTGAACAATAATAATTGCTAACATTTTTTTTTTTTTAAGATTTTATTAGAGAGAGAGGGAGAAGCAGGCTCCCTGCTGATCAGGGAACCTGACACGGGGCTTAATCCCAGGAACCTGGGATCTTGACCTGAACCAAAGGAAGACACTTAACTGCCTGAGCCACCCAGGTGCTCCATTTTGCTAACATTTTTATACAGTACCTGACCCATAATAAATAGTTTATATCCTTTATCTCACTTGATTCTTACAACAACCTAGAAGGTAGATACTACTAATAATTCCATTTTCAGCTGAGGAAACTGATAGTAATCAGTTACAGTCGCACAGCTCTTAGGTGCAACAATCTTAGCAGCCACGACTAGAGTCCATATCTGAATTCGGCTATATTGCCTTTCCTGGGTGATAATGTATTAACAATAGTTCATGTTTAATGAGCATTTACAACCTTTTGATGTAGGTACCATTATTTACCCCATTTTATAGACTAAGAAACTGGCCAGAAGAGTGAGTAACTTGCAGCAGCTCAGTGCTCTTATAAATCCCAGCTGAAGCTACCACTATCCTAGTCAAAGCTAAGACTGGGATGGGGGGAGGCATGGGTGGGTATGAGCAGAATAGGTGGGAAAGCTCTGGAAAAGAAGTTTCTTAATAGTCTTAACATCTTCCTAAGTGGTTTTGGTCCTTCTCTCCCCACTTGATAAATAACTGGAGGTATCGAGAAAGGAAATTCTAGCTTGGTTCTACTTTCAGGGTAGCTCACCTTAAGTCATCTCAGAGATTGGGTTGGGTGGGCAACTTTCCTTTTTCCAAAACCATATTCCTAGATTTTTGTACGTTTCCATTTTTTCATCTGTCTTCTTTCATCACTATTTATTGAGGATTGAAACCTACCACATTAGCTGATAAAAATGTATACACTAATCTAATCTAGCCTAAAGAGACATTAGGATACTATTGGTTGAATTGTTCGAAATTTCTCTATGTAGGACCCAAAAGGTCAGATCTCATCAATCCCTTATGGTTTAACCTATGACTTTTAATTTAGGTAGGTTACAGATTCTCCAGGCTCATTGTCTCACATTCATTTTTTGTTTAGTCACTCATTTGGCATTTATAGAGTACTATGCGGTACTGAACTATACTGAGTTTTGGAGCTGTGAAGATAAATAACACATAGTTCTATCAGGGAAGTTATGATTGAAGGAGGACAGGCATTTAAACGAATACATATAATAAAGTGTTAAAATTACTAAGGTAGAATAAAGAGGGGTGCCTGGCTGGCTCAGTCAGTTGGGTGTCTGCCTTCTGCTCAGCTCATGATATCAGGGTCCTGGGATGGAGCCCTATGTTGGGCTTCCTGCTCAGCGGGGAGTCTGCTTCCCCTCTGGCCCTCCCCTCCACCCCGCTCATGCTTTCTCTCTCTCTCTCTGTGTCATAAATAAATAAAATCTTTAAAAAAAGAAAAGAAAGAAAAAGAAATAGATTGTGGTCATACATGCAGGGATGGGAAGAGCTGAGTTCCTTAGCAAAGGTTGCATAAACAAGAGGGGGTCAAGCAACCTAGAGTGTGTGTTTTATATAACAGGCATGTACCATTAGTGGTTTGTCAGCAGTTTAAAAGCATCGTATCTAGCGTTTTTTAAATGGAATAATGCATCTCTCACATTTATTAACGGTAAGTTATTTAGTGAAACTTTTGTTTTTAGTTTTATATGTGTGTCTGTATTGGTCAAAATGTAAAATATATTTCTTACCATGATATTGCCAAATCAGTTGGAAAGATATTCTTCTAGTCAAATGATAACAGGGTAGCTTGGTTTAGCCTTGAAGCATTGGACAGGTTTTTCTCTAGTGTTTTGTTTTTGTTTTTTAGCTTGTTAGTTTTCTCTGAATCTCTTGCTTTGGGCCCTTGGTTTTTTCCTTGCCGATTTTCTTTACCTCTACTCTCCACAGATTTTTATTCCTTTCGTCCTTGGAAAACCAAGGTCCTTTCATTATAAGACGAGATTTACAAACTCAGGGCCTACAGAGATTGGGTAGGGGTTGGAGCCAACTGAAGAATGCATACCTCATCTAAAAGAGCATGCGCTGTGTTAGTTACATTCTTTGAAGACATAGTGGTCTGGTGATCTTATAGTGTCTCTTGCAATATTGGAAATACACATTTTTAAGTGAAATCTCTAGATTTTGAAATATTGGTAGCTAATCCAAAGTTTTAAACACTGTGTAAGCCAATCAAAACATGCTAGCTGGATTTGGCCTGAGAGCCTCCAGTTTATAACCTCTGTAAGCCAATCCCAACATTCTTTCCTAATGAGAACAGGTTGCCTCAACACCATCTATCCAGCCAAAATATTTTTTTCCTAAGTATTTGAGAATAGTGGGGTGGTGCATTAGGTATGAGGACAAGTGAATATATTAGCCTCATTCAGCTGCCCAAGTAAAGAGTTGTTGGATCATAATATGCTGGTGGCTAACTTCCTGTGGAACTGTGAGGTTCAATAATAGAATCTCCTTTTTGGGGCACCTGGGTGGCTTAGTCGTTGGGCATCTGCTTTCGGCTCGGGTCGGGGGATCAAGCCCCACATTGGGCTCCCTGCTCAGCGGGAAGCCTGCTTCTCCCTCCCCCACTCCCCCAGCTTGTGTTCCCTCTCTCACTGTGTCTTTCTCTGTCAAATAAATAAATAAAGTCTTTTAAAAAAAAATTACTTATTTGCTGTGGTGTTACAGGAATTTCTTTATGCCTACATGGGTAAACATTGTCCTAAAATTTGGCAAAGCAAAAAAAAAAATCACTTTTTAAGGAGGAAGTCACCTTAAGACTGCGTATGTGCATCTGATACTATAAATGAGAGTCCCTTGGACTTGGAGATGAGAATTTGTGTCTTACTGCCACTCTTCACTAGTTACTTTACCTGGAGGAAACTACTGATCCTCTCTGAGTGGGCCTCAGGTTTCTCATAGTTCTGAGCCCTATTACTTCATCAAGTTACTGTCAATAGAGAGCAATAAAAATTGCAAGGTGCTCTGCAAGTATTATGTACATATCTGTTTTCATTGTAATTCCTCAGATATTTTTAATTTATTTTTAATTTATTAAATAATATTAAATATTAAATAATTTATTAACTTTCATTTCAAAGATCTTTAGTTGAAGAACAGTCTTCTGTGGGATCCGTCATATCTGCTAACTTCTTGAAACAGATCAATACGCAGAAAAGTACTAATACCAGAGATACAAATAAAGAAACAAAAGAGCAGCTCATCATTGTGAGTAAATTTAAAACAAAACTCCTCCTGTTTTGTGGCTCTCACATACAGAACATGAAGTCAGACATGTTGTCTTAGCATAGTTAACATGGTTTAGAGACACATTATGAATCTTGTAAATGCCAGCTTTGTTGTAGTGATAACATTTAAAGCTAGTCAAGTAGATTTTCAAACTCATAATGTTAGGCAATGCTAGTAATTTAGTAGAATGCTGATGAATCAGTTGTCTCCGGATAAGGAAGATTATTGTTGATCCACAAAAGATGTAATGAGAATAGCTACACTCTAATAGACCTGGGCTTGGCAAATTATGGCCGTGGACCAAATCTGAACCATGGCCTATAAACTAAGAATAGCTATGATGTTTTTAAAGGGTTGGAAAAAAGAGAATAATATGAGACAAAAAGAGCCTAAAATATTTCCTATCTGGCCTTTTGCAGAAAAAGTTTTACAACCCCAGTATTCATTCAGAACTTGGTATTTTCAGTAGCATTAAATATTGCCTCATGAGATAGAATGTAAGTTAATAAGCCACAAAATTGAATATTCCTGACTTTCCTACATTCATGAATTTATCTGTGCTTTTTCTGAGCTTTTATTATGTATTTATTTTTTTATCAACTCTTGGGGCAAAGAATTTTGATATTCCTAATCACTTAAGGAAAAAATACTATATAATGAATATACAAGTCCTGAGATTTTTGCCCTGCCTCTTTGAAACAAGGCCTTTTCATGGCTCTCATTTAAGAGCTTAATAAAGAAGCACTATTGTTCATCTTAGCTATTATCTTTATGATTTAATCTGATTCCTTCTAGAATTATGGGTCCAGCCAAGGGATCTTGATTATTTTATACCATCAAAGAGACAGTTTGATTTCTTTCATCAATTTATTGCATTTTTAGGTCTCTTCTCATTCCATTTTGTTTAGGAGATGGGGGAAGAGCATATAGTAACCAGACTTTCATTTAGTATTTTACTTGTGCCGGCATAAAAGAAAAATAGGGAGAAATTTGAGTGAGTGGTTACATGAACTAAAATACAGAGCTATTTGTGATATGTTTAAGATGGGCTTTTTCTTTTTCTTTTCCCAATTACAGGACGCAGGTCAGAAACACTTTGGAGCAACCATGTGTAAGTCTTGCGGTATGATCTATACTGCCTCCAGTCCTGAAGATGAACTACAGCATGTTCAGCATCACTACAGATTTCTGGAGGGCATCAAATACACAGTAAGTCAAAAGTAGTCTTTCAGTTTGTTCTAAAAGTAAAACTGCCTTAAAAGATACATTTCTTTTGCTTAAACATTGAAAAGATATATATCCATAAATACCATCTGCAGTTTTGTTTTCAAAATATTTGAGGCTGACGGTATTTGAAAGCTACCTTTTATAAAAGTGCCAGTTCAAACTTTCTATCCTAGTATAAGTATTGTTCTAGGCTGAGTGAACACCCTTCATTCTTAATTCTAGCCTTTTGAGCAGAGCTGAACAATTAGGATACAAAACTCAAAGACTTGAGGAGACCTCACTTCCCTGCACCTCCTCACTTTCTTCTTTGTAGATAGGATTAGAAAAACAACTTTTCTGTGACTTCTCCAGGCTTTTTCTTTTCTGATAGGAGAGGTTCCATCTTTTTGTCAAGCACCTTTCTAGCCCAATACATCCTGTTGTTGGCCTTTGTGACTGTTCCTGCTACTCAAATGTATTTCCTTTTTTCCTCTATTTTTAGTGTGGTTTATTAAAGCTCTGCTTACCCTAGCCCTCCCCCACCTTCCTACTCCTAATAACTCATCATTTTTTCTCTATATTCCTATGAAGGGCTCTTTAATTGACTTCATCTTATTTTGTAGTAGATTATGTACATGTCTCCCACTAGGGTGTCAGCCTCCTGAGGACAGGCAGTGTATTTTAGGCCATCTTTTATTTCCCTTCTCACATCCCTTGAGATGGATTGTGTCTTTTTTCATATCATTCATTGTTCATCTTTTTGTTCTCTCCAGACTATTTGATGTTTTTTTTCTCTCTTTTTCAAATTAAACTGACTTTTTTTTCTTTTTATCAGGGCTGGAAAAAAGAACGCGTAGTAGCAGAGTTTTGGGATGGGAAAATTGTGTTGGTCCTGCCACATGATCCAAGTTATGCTCTCAGAAAGGTATGGAACATAAAAGTTTTTTAATCCTTGTTCTCCTCCTCCTCCCTTTTTCTCCTCTTACCAAGAAATCAACCTAAGTATAAAACACCTTTCCTGTGAGCTAATCCACCTTGGTGTGCATATACAAGGATGACTGTCATAGTGGTTTATACAAAACTAAATTTAGAATTATAAGACAAAGTGTCAGTCAAAGATTAAAGAAAACAGTTATCTGTTTTATCCTTTACCTTCATTTTCACTTGCAAAAGATAAACTAAACTTTTTAATATTGAGAAATTGCCCCAGAGTCTTTTTCTGTGTTGGTATTGTCTGTTTCTTGGACTGGATGTTGAGCCCCCCAGTGAACAATGAATAAAGCTGAAACAAAATCTCTCCTGGCACTTCCCACTCCTTACTCCCCCAGGAGTCTGCATTTCTTTCCGCTGAAAGTGATCTGTAAAATAGGTTTTTCAAACCCTGTTTCCAGAGGGGCAGATACATGCATCAATAGTGAAATAATTTGGGGATTGTATAAATTTAGGGAATAGAGGTAAAAGAGGCTAAAATGACAGTAATCATAAATTAATCTCTTTTGGTTTTTAACATCATTAGGTAGAGGACGTCCAAGAACTTGTTGATAATGAATTGGGCTTCCACCAAGCTGTTCCCAGATGTCCAAACAAAACTAAGACTTTTCTCTTCATATCTGATGAAAAGAGAGTAGTTGGGTGTTTAATTGCAGAGCCCATCAAACAGGTATGGTATATGTCTTTTAAATTATTGGCATAATGTGTGAGCAAAATAAAGTAGTTGGGTGAAATCTCCATAAGCATTTAAGAATGCTACCATTGATGACTTTTTTCCCTACTAAAGTATCCTTGACCATATGGATAATTGAAATCTTTTATTTCTATTATATTTGGTATTTTGTCATATGTAAGCAGAATAAGTCAGTCTTATATAAGAATAAGTTCATGTAGTCATTTCCATACCTGGACTATAAAATATAGTGATTTTAAATAAGCAAATCTATAGAGCCCAGATGTTGAACATGTGGTTTAGTGCAGGTTAATGTAGCTGGCAAAATAATTATTGTCCCTTAATTAGAATCTATTTTAGGTGCTAATTAGCAATGTTCTGGAAGAGGAGTTGGCAAACTTCAGCTCATGGACCAAGTGTAGCCCACCACCTGTTTTATAAATAAAATTTTATTGGAACACAGCTATGCTTATTTATTTCCATATTATCTGGGATTGCTTTTGTAACAGAGATCACCTGGCTCAAAGAGCCTAAAATATTTACAACTTGGCCCTTCACAGAAAAAGGCTGCCAACTTTTGTTCTAGAATAGAGATAGTTTTTGCCTCCAAGGAACTTATAGTATAATCTTTAGCTAGAGAGAATTATAGTGCAGTTGTGTTCTTTTTACTTGACTTTTTAGTATCCCACACTTATGTCTCCTTCCTTTTAAAAATAGTTTCAATATGTCTTAAAATGATACTAGCATAAATCTATCCTATACCTTTGTGTAGGTGACTCCCTTTCTCCTCTCATTTCTACTATCTTTTTTTTTTCTTAAAGATTATATGTATTTATTTGAGAGAGAGCACACGCACAAGCAGGGGGAGGGGCAGAGGGAGAGGAAGAACCAGACTCCTAGCTGAGTGGGGAGTCTGATGTGGGGCTCAATCCCAGGCCTGTGGGATCATGACCTGGGCCAAAGTCAGACGCTTCACCGACTGAGCCACCCGGGCACCCCTCATTTCTGCTATCTTTATTGTTCTTCCTTGTTTTCTCTTTTTATCTGCTTTTTCATTGTATATGTATGTGATATATATATGTGTGTGTACACACAATATAGTGTCTCTTGTGGGTTTATCAGAAAATGGAGAGGAAAGTAGCTGGTTTGTATTAGTGATCAGTTTGGCCTTTTCTTTCATTTTAAAGAAGTAGACTATTTATGTAGTGATGATAGACAAATATAGCCAAACATATTCTCTTCTTCTTTTTCTTATTTCTTATTTCAAAAGCAAAGTTTTCTTGATGGTAGTTAAAACTTAAGTACCCACCTATCAGAACAGCTGCATTTAAAAATAGTGACAGTACCAAATGCTGGCAAAGATGCGAGGAAACTAGATCTTTTATTTTTTCTTTTTTTAAAGATTTATTTATTTATTTATTTGAGAGAGCGAGAGAGTACATGAGATGGGGGAGGGTTAGAGGAAGAAGCAGGCTCCTCGGCGAGCAGGGAGCCCGACGCAGGACTCGATCCTGGGACTCCGGGATCATGACCTGAGCCGAAGGCAGTCGCTTAACCAACTGAGCCACCCAGGCGCCCCGAAACTAGATCTTTTAGACATTGTCGGAGGGAATGTAAAATGTTAAGACTGCAAAACATTTGGCAGTGTTTTTTTTTTTTTGTTGTCTTTTTTTTAAGACATATTTATTTCAGAGATAGAGTGCATGTATGTGCACACAGTAGGGAGGGGCAGAGGGAGAAAAAGAGAGAGTCCCAAGCAGACTCCATGCCAAGCCCGGCACCAACACGGGGCTCGGTCTCACAACCCCGAGATCATGACCCAAGCTGAAGCCAAGAGTTCTGGACGATCAACCAACTGCACCGCCCTGATGCCCTGGCAGTTTCTTAAAAAATTAATCATACGTTTTTCATATGACCCAGCAATCCTATTCCTGGGCATTTATCCCAGAGAAATGAAAACTTATTCTACACAAAAGCCCATACCTGAATGTTCATAGCAGCCTTATTTGTAGTAGTCAAAGCCTGGAAACAATGAAAGTGTTCTTCAGTAGGTGAATGATTACACAACCGGTACATTCATACAATGGAATATGACTTAGCGATAAAAAGGAACAAACTGTTGATATATGCAACAACTTAGATAGATGTCAAGGACATTGTGCTAGTGAAAAAAAGACGATCTCAGAAGGTCACATGATGTATGATTCCATTTACATGACATCCTCAAAATACCAGAATTATAGAGATAGAGAACATATTGAAGTAGCCAGGGCTTAGAGATGGTGGAGGAGAAAAGGTGGGTGTCACTCTACAAAGGTAGCAAGAGGAAGGTCTTTGAGATGGTACAGTAGCTCTGTGTCCGGGTTAAGCTGTGGTGGTGCTTAAATGAGTATACAGGTGTGATGAATTGTCCCATGATAGGGAACTATATGCGTACATTATACTTACGTTAATTCCTTGGTTTTGGTATTGTACTGTAGTTATGGAAAATATAACCATTGGAGGAAACCGGGTGAAAGGTACATTATTTCAAAATAGAAAGTTTAAAAAGATCCTTAAATACCAACCAAATTTCATAGTTAATATGCAAAAATCTTCTTTAGTATTATCAGTTTTTCAGGATATCATAAATATAGTTTAGGCTGGAGAGAATGGGAGAAGTTTATGTACTGGATTAAAAGTAAGAGTCTGATTTTTATAATTTTTTAATCCGAAGAAGGAAGTTTCATAATGGTATGTAATACACTAGAATGTAGGAATATCTCAACACCGGTAGTTTTTTGTGTTGTTTTTTTTTTAAACATTGTGTGACTAAATGGATAAGAATTCAAAAAGTATCAGAATTTTAACATTTTTGGTGAAGGCATAACAAGATTAATTTTAGATACTTAAGGCTTATTTAAGGAATGGCTTTTAAAAAGAAATGTGAACTCAACTGTACTGTTAGCTCTAGATACATCTGTATATCATTGCAGGCCTTCCGTGTCCTTTCTGAACCAACTGGTCCAGAATCCCCAAGCTCTAAAGAATGTCACCGGGCTTGGCAATGTTCAGATGTACCAGAACCTGCAGTCTGTGGAATAAGTAGAATCTGGGTCTTCAGACTAAAACGAAGAAAGCGCATTGCACGACGATTGGTAGATACTGTCAGGTAAGAAATAAAATAAAATGGATTATTAGATTAGCTTTCCCAGAACCTTTGCTGGCTCATGAGTCAAAGGGAACGATGTTGTTAAGACACTTCTGTTTAAATACCACCAAAGTCAGGCTAAGGCAAGTGTTGGCACTGGGGGAAAACCCCACTAGAGGTACTCAGTTTAGGGCACAACATTCCAGGTATGAAACATGATAGCCCAGTGCTCATCAAACTACCTGCGGTAAAAAACTAGTTTAATTATAGACCAACACTTTAATAAAATGAGATGAATTGCTAGAAAATGAAATAGAAAAGCAAAATAGAAAATACAAGCCCAAATTTTTATTAGATTCTTTTATTAGATAAAAGTTAACATTGCAATAAATATAATTTATACAAACAAAATACAGGTTTAAAAAAAGAACTACAGAAATTGTACATGTTCATTGACTAGTGTGTGACCAGGTATAATTAATGAAGACTTACTATAATTCACAAGGGTAACTAAATGGAAAAGTGAGTTAGCAAGGCAACCCACAACATGGGAGAAAATATTTGCAAATCATTTAATATATCCAGCCTATATGAAAGAACTCTTACTACACAACAATAAAAAGGTAGCTCAATTTCAAGATGGGCAAAGGATTTCAATACACAGTTCTCCAAAGAAGAAATACATAAGGCTCCTATCAAGGATTTGCTAACCAAGGGCGCCTGGGTGGCTCAGTCAGTTAAGCGTCTGCCTTTGGCTCAGGTCATGATCCCAGGGTCCTGGGATCGAGCCCCGCATCGGGCTCCCTGCTCAGCGGGGAGTCTGCTTCTCGCTCTCCCTCTGCCTGCCGCTCTGCCTACTTGTGCTGTCTATCTCTCTGTCAAATAAATAAATAAAATCTTTAAAAAAAAAAGGATTTGCAAACCAAAACCATGATGAGATACCACTTCACGCTCACTAGCATGACTATAAATTTTTTTATTTACATATTTTTTTTTTAAAGATTTTATTTATTCATGAGAGACAGAGGCAGAGGGAGAAGCAGGCTCCCCGCGGAGCAGAGAGCCTGATGCGGGACTTGATCCCAGGACCCTGGGATCATGACCTGAGCCAAAGGCAGAGGCTTAACCGACTGAGCCACCCAGGCATCCCTATAAATTTTTTTTAAAAGGGGGAAAATAACAAATATTGGTGAAGATGTGGAGAAAATTGGGATCCTTGCATTTTGCTGGTAGAAATGTAGAATGGTACAGCTGCTGTGGAATAGTCTGGTAGTTTGCAGAAAACTAAACTGTTAACCATATGACCCAGCAGTTCTGCTCCTGTTTGAGTATATACTCAAAAGAAATGAAAGCATGTGTCCATATAAAAACTAATACATGAAGCTTCATAGCAGCATTATTCGTAAGAGCCAAAAAAGTATAAACAACCAAATTCATGATTAATGGATAAATACAATGTGGCATTTCCATACAATAATACAATGGGATCTTATTTGGCCACGGAAAGGAACGAAGTGTTAACCTCTACTACAACGTGGATGAACCTTGGAAACAATATGCTAATTGGAATAAGCCAGTCACAAAAGGCCCCGTATTGTATGATTCCATTTACAGAAAATATCTAGAACAGGCAAATCCACAGATAGAAAATAGACTAGTAGTTTCCAGGGACTAAAGGCAGGGTGAATGGAGAGTGACTACAGATCAGTACAGGGTTGCTTTCTGGGGTGATGAAAATGTTCTGGAATGGATATTGGTGGTAGTTGCACAGTGATGTGAATATACGAAAAACCACTGAATTGCACACTTTTAAAGGGTGAGTTTTATGATGTATGAATTGTATATCAATAAAAAATAGTGGTTTGCCATTTTAAACTCCCAGGTTCACACTTGCAACTAACATTTAATTACTTGAAGTTTCTTCTGTGACAAATGAACTTACTTCTTGCTTGTTAATGTACCTGATCTAGGCTGGCTGGATGAGTTTCACAAAACTTATTCTCTCAACTTCTATTCCTAAGATAACAGGTTACAATCCAGTGACCACACTTTGACCAGACCAGGGACCACGCTTTGAGTAGCGCTAGTCAAGCCTGTTGAGTCCTATACACTTTTTAAGAAAGAATACCCAAAACCACTGTGGGATCCAGTGTTGGGCCATAATCCTAGTCCCCTGCACATTCCTTATAAAGGGGAACAGTGAGAAAAATTAGTGTCTGTAAAGATTTTTATTTGACAGTTAATTATGAAATATCTCTACTTTCTGTATTTTATGTTAAGAGATGCATATATTTGGCATGGGGAATACCAGTATCTAACCTAGTTCCACCAGTCTGTAGTCCAGTGCTTCTCAAACGTGAAAGTGTGTATCAGTCACCTGGGGATCTTGTTAAAATGCAGGTGTGATTCAGTAGGTTGGGGTGGGGCCTGAGATTCTGCATTCCTGATAAACTCTCAGGCGATGATGAATGTTGCTGGTCTGTAGATCATACTTTGAGTACCAAAGCAATAGGTTATCTATAAGCAATAATGAATAAAAATTAAGTTGCCTTTAACGGAGAAATAAAAATACATTCATTTGAGAACACATCTCTCTTCTCAAGCCCGGGAATTAAAGATACAGGTAGCATAATTGGCAGCTATCCTGTATATATATTATCTACAGGATATATATATTGGGCAATATATATTTAAATCCTCACAAGAGTAGAATATTGTTCATGGTTGTTTTACCTAAGAAGCAACTGAGGCTCACCTGGGATTATTAGTACACGTCTATACTGATAGGTGAATAAAAGGACAGAGTTAGGACTCAAACCCACAGATCTAATGTTCTTTCCATAGCTGATACCACTTATAAAGATAGTAAGACCTGTTTAATATCTTGCTTTGGATTCTAGTAAATTTAGCAATAAACTTTGTATGAAATTACATAGTATACCATATGCTTATATCTTCTAATTGAATCCAATCTTTAATTTTTTATTTTTTGAAATAATTTCAAACCTATAAAAGAGTAGCAGAAATAGTAAAAAGAAGCCCTTATTTACCTTTGCCCAGATTCATCAAGTTTTAACATTCACCTTCTTCCTGAATTATTTAGAAGTAAGTTATATACATTATGCCCCTTTAGCCCCTCGTACTTCATTCAGTGTGTATTTCTTAAGACCAAAGGTAGTCTCTTTCATAAGCATACTTCAGTCATCAAACACAGGGTATTTAATGTTAATGTAATGCTTTTATCTGACGTATAGTTCATATTTCCGTTTTGTTATTTGTCTTCAAACGTCCTTCCTAGCATTTTTTTTTCCTGCCAGGATCACATTGCACGTAGTTGTCCTAGCTCTTTCGTCTTCATCTTCCTTCACTTGGAACAGTTTCTTAGTGTTTGTCTTTTATGGCATTGAAGAATTTGAAGAGTACTGGCCAGTTATTTTTGGACTATCCTTCAATTTTGTTGAATTCTTTTAACCATTTCATTTTATTACTTTTAATCCTAGTTGAGCTGGGTCAGGAGAGTTGTGGTCAAAATGCAGGTTAGTTTTTGCCTCCTTAAAGCTCTGAGCATGTGGTATGGTTGAGGAGAATAGTTGTTGGTTAAAATTGTTGATGGTGGTTTTTTGGTTTTAATGAACTGTGGCTTTTAGTCAGCAATATTATCGTCTATTCGTTGCTCATCACCATGGGTCCCCTGGAGTCAGCTAGATGGTTTTTACAGCTCCTTTTGCCTCTCAGCAGAATTTTTTCTGGACCTCAGTTTACTCATCTGTGAAATGGTATCATTAAGACTTCCATCTCTAAAATCTAAGGCATTAAATCACTTTATCACTTAATTTTTATTTTAATCAAGAGTATTTAAAGAGATTGAAATTGTATATTTGGATTGCTTTAAAATAAATAATGCTAATTATTAGTTGGAATTTTAAGTTGGTTCCATTGTTAAATTGTCTTTTCCTCTTCTTTAGGAATTGCTTCATGTTTGGCTGTTTTCTCAAGATTGACGAAATAGCATTTTCTGACCCAACACCAGATGGCAAGTTATTTGCAACCAAATACTGCAACACCCCTAATTTCCTTGTATACAATTTTAATAGTTGAAGCCAGTGTCTACTATAGAACAGTTACTGGGTGGATGAGTTCAGACAGCCCCATATCGTATAACATTTAGTAAATATCAAAATAAATATACTAAGACACACACATACACAAAAACCTGTATCGGTTTTGTTCCTTATGAATTGAAAAGTGAGGGATAAATTTGTTGAAAATTATCTGGGGATTCAAAAAAAAAATTTTTTTTGGATAATATATACTGACTAGCACTGGAATCCTTAATTATGACACTTTGTAGCTATTACTGGAAAATGACATGCCTCCTACATAAAAACATTGACAAAGCAAGATGGTTTCCACAGATATGTGACCACTTACCTTTTATAAAGCACACTTTTGCACCAGGATTACCTCATGCCCAATCAGAAGCAAACAGCAAAATTTAAAGACGGGCAAATAATTTCCATGCCCGGTCTTTAAAGGTAATTCCTGAATTCTGTACACAAAATTCTCACTTTATAGGTATTGGCTGGAGCAATTCAGTTTGAACAGATTTAGTAAGTATTTTGAATTTTTAATTTGTAAGAGGGCTTTTGCCTCTTTATGGTAAAGAATGAGTAAGATTTCCATATCCTTTTATGTAGAACAGAATTCTGTAGCTTAAGGTTTTAATCCTTTCGAAAATCATATTAAGCAAAATGTACCTGTCATCGGATCCGAATACAATTAAACGTAGTAATTGCACTATTGTCATTCCATGACCTTTGGGAGTGTGAAAATGCTAATTTGGGCTGCTTACCTTCAGTGCCCTTGTTGCTCGTTGCTGGGGATTGACGGCATTAACAGAATGGACCCCCAGTTGGATTAGATGATTCATATGGTTACATTTTTAAAACTTTTGCATGTTTAAAATACATCTGACTTGTTCTAAGGAGTCTGGCTGCAGTGCTGACAAAGTGAATAGTAATATATAACTGAGGTCAGTAAATCAATGTATGTAGGTGGATGGGCCAGAGAATGTGATGATGTTATGTAAACACACCTCAGTATGCACACATTTTTCTAGTATAATTCTTGGATACTTACTTTGAAGAACAAAGAATATTGTTTTGATTCTAAAATTCATGTAACTGCTTATCTGGCAGTAGGACTCTAGGGAAGTAGTTTTCCGGGTTATAACTCTGTAGAATCAGTTCATCTGCATTCTTGTATTTGCCTGTAAGTTAACATGTTTCCAAAATTTAAAAGCCTAGATTCCAAAAAGAATGTGGAAGTGTTAAAATGTGTGTAATATGCCAACATTTTAATGCTGTTTTCTGCACTGCTGTTTTTGTTTTAAATATTTTATTTAAAAATTTTTATTAACATTATTTTGCTTGCTCAATGCTTTATGATGAATCAATTAAAATTCCTTTCAATGTTCTCTGTCCTCTTCTAACAACCAAAAGTATTGATTTTCTTTCCAGATTATTTTTGTGATTATAGAAACAGTACATGCTCATTGATTGTAAAAACCAATCATTGAAAACATACCCACACGAAAACCTGCCCACTGGACGTTAATAGCAGCTTTATTCATAATTGCTAAAACTTGGAAACAACCAAGATGTCCTTCAGTAGATGAATATACATCCAGACAACGGAATATTATTCAGTGCTAAAAAGAAGTGAACTATCAAGCCCCAAAAAGGCAGAGAAACCTTAATATTACTGAATGAAAGAAGCCAATGTGAAAAGGTTACATCCTGTATGATTCCAGCTGTATGATAGTCTGGAAAAGGCAAAACTATGGAGACAGTAAAAAGATCAGGTGTTCGGGGGGAGGGAAGGATGAATACGTGGAACACAGGATTTTTAGGGCAGTGAAACTAGTCTGTATGACACAAAAGGGTGGATACACTTTAAACGTTTGTCCAAACCCATAGAATGGACAATACCAAGAGTAACCCCTAATTTGTCAGCGTACGTTCATCAGCTGCAACAAATATCCCACTCTAATAGGGGATGTTGACAGTGGGGGAGGCTGTGCATGGGGGGGAAGGGAGTATATGGAAATCTCTGCTTCCTCCTAATTTTGCTATGAACTTAAAATTGCTCTAAAAAATGAAATTTAACAAAAACAAGAAAAGGATAATCTGAAAAATTATTATAGCCAAGGAGACATGACACCTAAATGTAATGTGGGATCCTGGAACAGAAGAGGACATTAGGTGAAAACCAAATCTAAATTAAGTATACTTTAGGTAATGTAGCAATATTGGTTCATTGGTTTGCTAATTGTGACAAATATACTAACTTAAAATGTTGAGAGTAGAGGAAGCTAGGTGTGGAGTATATGGGAATTCTCTGCAACTTTTCTGTAAATCTAAAACTTCTTTAAAAGTTTCTTTTTAAAAATGTACACCTTAGTTATCAAACACCTTCATAATTACTACCCAGGATAAAAAAATAGAACACTGCCTCATGTTCTCTTCAATCATCATTTTCCTCAAATGATTACTACCGTTTTTTTAAAAGATTTTATTAGAGAGAGCACAAGTTGGGGGTTGGGCTGGGGGGCAGGGAGAGGGAGAAGCAGATTCCCTGCCATTGGGAGCCCGACTTGGGGCTTGATCCCAGGACCCCGGGATCATGACCTGAGCCAAAGGCAGATGCTTAACCAACTGAGCCACCCAGGTGCCCCGTAACTACCTATTATGTCTAAAATTTTAGTCTGTTTTTTACCTTATATAAATCGAATATGTTGTCAAGATGCATCCATGTTATTTCATCTAGTCGAAACCCATTTTCATTGCCGTATATTCTATTATAGGAATATACTGTAATTTATATTACTGTTGATGAGCATCTTTGTGACTACTTGAGCCTCTTGCCCTCGTATCTATTTATTATTGATTGGCTACCTTTGTCATAGATTGTGTCCAATACATGTGTGTATTTCTGCCTGTTTATTCCCACTAGCCTTGTGGGTTTTCCTTATTCTAGTACCACATTGTGTTATTACGTTCTTGATGTTGGTATTCTAAATGCTCCCACCTTTTTTTCCTACAAGAGTATTGGGTCTATTCTTGGTCCTTTGCATTTGCGTGTACAGTTTACAATCAGTTTGAGACCGTCAAAAAGCCATCACCAATTCAAAAAACAACTGTTGGGATTTTACTGGAATCGCATCAAATGTATAGGCCAATTTGGGAAAGATTGATCATAAAAGCTATTTTATCTTATCTGTACACATGGTATATTTCTCCATTTATTTAGTTTCTCGGTAATTTGGGGTTTTCACTGTTGGAGGTCTTATGTAGGTTATTTAGATTTATTCTTAAGCATTTGATACTTTCTTTGAAGCCACTGGAAGTAAAGTTGTTAAAGTTTCATTTGTTTGCTGATAAAATACGACTGACTTTTCTATATTCGACCTTGCATTCAGCAGCCTTCCTAAACTTATTTAATTCTAAAGGTTCATCTGTAGATTCTTTTGGATTTTCAGTTTTGAATTAATGTCTCATTCCATTTTTCATAGGAAAGGCTTTCAACATTTCACTATTGTCTTAGTTATCGCTATAACAAAAATACTATAGCCTGGGTGGCTTAAACAATTTATTTCTCACAGTTCCCAAGGCTGGTAAGTTCAAGATCAAGGCACTGGCAGATCCAGGACCTGGGGAGAGCCCACTTCCTGCCTTGCAGCCTTGCTGCATCCTCTCGGGGCAGAGTTCATCTCTCCGTCAAGAACACTTAAGTCCACTCCTGAGGGCTCCACCTTCATGACCTAATCGCCTTCCAGATACCATCACATTAGGGATTGGTTAGGCTTCAACATGAATTTTAGTGGGACATAAACTTTCTATAACTATAAAATGTTAACTATAGCTTTAGATGTGAACACACTTATGTTAAGGAAGCTCCTACTCTCTGTTCCTAGGTTTCTAAGAGGTTTTGTTTTTATTTTCCAAGCTTTCAAATGTCTTTTAACTGGATTTTATCAAAATTTTTCTTCTCTGGAGATCACTGAATTTTCTTCATTGGGCAAATATGATGATTACATTGTTCTTTGAATGTTAAGTCAACCTAGTCTGCCGAAATAATCTCAACCTGGCCTTGAAGTTTTTAGGTTACTGGTTTTGGTTTACTAATACTTGGGATTGTTTTCAGCTGTTCATGAATGAGATTGGATATCAGGATATGTGCTGTTTCCTTTTCTTATTTATGATGCCTTTTTTACTCAATGATTCTTGCTAAGGCTTATTAGCTTATGAATTTTATTTGTATTTTCAAAGACAACTTTTGGCATTGATCCTATTATAGGTTTGTTTTCTGTTTTCTATGGTAGATTTTGTTTTTAAATATATGCTCATTTCTTTCCTTTTATTGGGAGTTTTGTTTTTCCTATATACTTAGCTTGCCAATTTTTCAGGGTTTTAATAGCATTTAAGATTATAAATCTCTATAAAGCACAACTTTAGCTGCACCCTCAAGTTTTTATATATAGTATATGATTATTTAAAAATCTCTTCTAGGGGCGCCTGGGTGGCTCAGTCGTTAAGCCTCTCCCTTCCGCTCGGGTCTTGATCCCAGGATCCTGGGATGGAGCCCCGCATCAAGCTCCCTGCTCAGCGGAGAGCCTGCTTCTCCCTCTCCCTCTCCTTCTGCTGCTCCCCCTGCTTGTGCTGTCAAATAAAATCTTTAAAAAATAAAAATTTTAAAAAAGGAAAAATTTGCTAGGGGCGCCTGGGTGGCTTGTTAAGTGTCCAACTCTTGGTTCAGCTCAAGTCGTGATCTCAGGGTTGTAGGATCAAGCCTCGAGTCTGGCTCTGCGCTCAGTAGGGAGTCTGCTTGAGGATTCTCTCTTTCCCTCTGTCCTTACCCCGTCTCTCTCTCAAATAAGTAAATCTTTATGGTGGTTCAGTTGGTTGAGCAACTGCCTTCGGCTCAGGTCATGATCCTGGAGTCCCGCATCGGGCTCCCTGCTCGGTGGGGAGTCTGCTTCTCCCTCTGACCCTTGTCCCGTTCATGTTCTATCTCATTCTCTCTCTCTCAAATAAATAAATAAAATTAAAAAAAAAAATCTAATTTTATTTTAATCAACAAATTGTGGATTAAGTAGGAACCGGGAGGCAATAAATAATCCACAATGTTTCTTGAGCAGCTACTGATCTCCATTTTCTAGAGGTGCAAACAGGCTCTTGACGGCCTTACCCCGATAGCAAAGGGAGATTTTCTGGGAGGTGAAAAAACGATTTGGGAGAAGCCTGGTTGGATTTGCCAATTAAAATTAATTCAGCAGAAAGATTAGCCCTGCTGTATCCACCCAGTCACATTACTTTTCTGAGAATGAGGCAGATGGCCAAAAACAAGGTAACATCTGAGACTTAAAAGAGCAAGTTCCAGAACAAGGATAGAAAACTTTCTTGGCATTGCCAGCAGATTGTCTGCAACTTTGTGTTGAGCCCCATCCAGACACAAACTGGAAAGCAGGCCGGGAACATTTTGCAGTGTCTGCCATTGACAGGTGCTGTGAATTTGCTGACCCAGTTCTTGGGCATTAGTTTGTTCCCATTTAGATATTCCAACTATAACAACTGGAAACAAATTTCTCAAGGAAAAAAAAGTATTGGATTATGTATTAAAAAGAAAGCTGCAATTCATGAGAATGGACCAAGAGACACACTGCCTTGTCAACTTGGCAAACGTAATGAGATCATATAAAAGTCAAAGTGAGGGTAACTACATGTCAGCGTGCAAAATTGTATACAAGATTTTTCTATGACTCAGCTTTCAGTTTGCTTTAATGTCACTTTACTGGTGTGTTGAAAGAAGATATGCCCATTAGTAATCTGTGTACTATTGCTTGGTACAATCTTATTCTAAAAGGAACCTCCAGTGAATTCTAGAATTGTTTAAAGCTCAGCGTGTAATGGTTCCTCATCTGTCCCAGAAGTGACAGTAACTTTTAAAACTCTTTCTATAGTCAAGTCTTGCTGTATGGAGTCACAACCACAACTCATTAACTAAAAATGCCCAGGCAGGGGGCACCTGGGTGGCTCAGTTGGTTAAGTGTCCAATGCTTGATTTCGTCTCAGGTCATGATCTCAGGGTTCTGGGATCGAGCCCCATGAGTCTGCATCGGGCTCCATGCTCAGCAGGGAGTCTGCTAGAGATTCTCTCTCCCTCTCCCCACCCCACTACTCTCTCTCACAAATAAATAAATAAATAAATCTTAAAAAAAAAAAATGCCCAGGTGGCTGTGGCACAGAGAAACTGCTGATCCAAATCACCCTCATTTTATAGGCCACGAGAAACACATTCACTCACATTCATTCAATACATTTAATGATGACAGTCAAATTAATGACATAAAATAAGACACCTTCTGGTAACTGAAGTCTCCTTTATTCTAGATCATCCTATTAGAATTTTATTATTTTTACACCAGAACTATGAAATGCTTAAGACAGATTACTAAATAAAAAATGAAATAGGGATCTCAATGCATAAAATATAAATTAAAGCAAAAGCAAAGACCTGGGGAGATCCAAGAGAGCAAGACAAGCCTTAACCAAAAAAACCTGTGAGTACCCAAGGAGCTAGTGTTTTGAGCCACGTTCTTTCAGCTTCTGGTGACCATATTTAGTAATAAGCACATCAGCCAAAAGCCAGGAAAAAGTTTAATGGTTTAAAAAATAAGCAAACGTAGACTTATTTTGTATTGCACAAAGTGCTAATTTCAATAGATCCATTAAAATAATCTTTGAGAAACAGTAATAAAAGTGATGGTCGCTCAATCCAAATTGTTAGAGTTTACAGCATTGTATTATGCTAGTGTTTTAAATCTGTATAAACAAATTCAAATACTTGAGTAGCTAGTTTCTTAAACTTAATAGAAAACTTTCTACAATCTCAAATGCTTATCATTGTAAACATGTTAAGAAATATTATAAATAATTGTTTAAATGTTAACTAGGTGCTGTGGTCCTAAAGCGGGTCACTTCAAAAAGCCTAATAATTACAGCTTATCATAGTAACTATATAATGTATGACAGTAAACAGAACAGTTATATACATGAGCCAACGTAAAGCTCAGTAGTCATGAATATGAGGGGATCACTGGACATCTATTTCCAAAGCTTCCACGATGTGTGAGGCAGAAGGACGATCTTTAGGATCTTCATTAGTGCATACAGAAAAGAGTTCAATCACTTTCTGGTATGTTTCATCCAGTTCTTCCATATTAACAGGTGGCCTCGTCCCCAGAGCTGCATAGTATGCTTCATCATCAAAATCACTTTCATCAAAAGTTTTATCTGCTCAAGAAGGAGTTGACACAAACAGAATAACACTAAGTCAGGGAAAAGTTTAGCAACTGCTCGAACTCACCCTCCTGAAACAAGAACTCATCATCTGGGATGCTTTTCATGATACACTGCGGTCTCCCATGGTGGAGATCAGCTATTGTCATGGTTTACAGGTCATGAACCCCGCCCCTCTTACTATGATAGCTCTCTAATCTTTTCCTCAGGCGAGGGGAGTTTCCAAGGAAACTTTCTGCTCTGCTTCTCAATTTATCTCCCTATTGTCAATTAACCTACTCTCATTTGTAGGAGATTAAACTTAGATTGCACCAAATTAGTATTAATATAATCCATATCTCATGCACTAGATCAAACAACTTCCTCTCTTAAATTTTAACCTAAAAGAAAGATGAAATAAAATTTTACCAGCTAATCTTTAGTTCAAACTGAGGAGATTGGGGTTTATGTTAAAAATAGTTATACCTTCATCATCATCATCTGGAAGATTAATGTGTGGAATAGACAAAGTCATCATTTCCCACAGAGTCAGGCCAAAGGCAAATACGTCAGCCTTGTCAGTAATAATACCATTCTCTTCCAAAGCTTCCTTGGGTTTCCAAGGCTCAGTGCCAATGTAACAGGCCTCGGGGTCGGTCACTGAAACAAAATACAAGGAAGCTGGTCCTTAGGGCAAGCACTAGAAATCACTAAGAAAGGCAAGCAACCCAAAGAAAACTGGGTAAGTGATTTAACAGGTAGTTTAAAGGTTAATACGTTAGGTAATAAACATGAAAATATACGCAATCTCATTAGTAAGAATTACTTTTTCCTTATCAGGTTGTAAAATATTCAAAAATCTGGCCAGTTGGCAAGGGTGTAGAGAAACAGCACTTCTCTTAGAAGGTAGCAGGAATGAGGGCACCTGGGCGGCTCATTCAGTTAAGGGTCTGATTCTTGACTTCGGCTCAAGTCATGATCTCAGGGCCCTGGGATCAAGCCCCGAGTTGGGCTCCCTGCTCAGCGGGGAGGCTGCTTTAGATTCTCCCTCTCCCTCTGCCCCTCCCCTCACCTCTCTTTCCCTCTCTAAAAAAAAAAAAAAAAACAAGAAAAGAGGCAGGAATATAGATACCACAAAAGACCTCAAATAGCCAAAGCAATCTTGAGGGAAAAAAAAGCTGAAGGTATCAAATTACAGATTTCAAGATACACTACAAAGCTCTAGTAACCAAAACAGTATGGTACTGGCACAAAAATAGACACACAGAGGAACAGAAGAGAGCCCAGAAAGAAACCCATGCTTATATGGTCAATTAATCTATGACAAAGGAGGCAATCAATAAATGGTGCTAGGAAAACTGGACACCTACATGCAGAAGAATGAAACTGGACCACTTTCTTATACCATACACAAAAATAAACTCAAAATGGCTTAAAGACCTACATGTGAGACCTGAAATCATAAAACTCCTAAAAGAACACATAGGCAGTAGTATCTTTGGCCTTAGCAATATTTTTCTAGATATGTCTCCTCAGGCGAGGGAAACAAAAGCAAAAATAAACTATTGGGACTACACCAAAACAACACACTTTTGTACAGTGATGGAAACCATCAACAAAACGAAAGACAACCTACTGAATGGGAGACGATATTTGCAAATGATATATCTGATAAGGGGTGAGTATCCAAAATACATAAAGACTCATAAAACTCAACATAAAAAAACCAAACTATTGATTAAAAAAATGGCCAGAGAATCTGAACAGACATTTCTTCAAAAATGACACAGAGATGGCCAACAGGCACATGAAAAGATGCTCTTCATCACTCATCATGGGGAAATTGCAAATCAAAATCACAAGGTTATCACCTCACACCAGTCAGAATAGCTGGTATCAAAAAAACAAGAAATGGCAAGTGCCGGTGAGGATGTAGAGAAAAGGAACCCTCATGCACTACTGGTGGGAATGCAAACTGGTGCAGCCACTCTGGAAAATAGTATGGAGGTTCCTCTAAAGTTTTGCAGTCTGTTCTGCTACAATAAACATTTTGTAACACAAATTAGTGCAGACACAATTAGGTATAAAAAGATCCATTTTTTTCCCCATTACCTGTTATTTTTAAATGATCAGAAGTAAACGTCCTCATAAAGAGAAAGCCTTATCCCAAGAGAACAAAAATGCTTTCTCTTAATGCATGGTTGGTTTAGCAGCTTTAAGAACTGCTAGGCTGACTATAACCTTAAATTGTCTCGTGAAGCTGAGAGTGTCAGCAAAGGGGCTGGGGAAGCACTCCCCCGCCCCCATGCTTACAAATATTTTTTTAATTGAGAAAGCCAGATCAAATTTTAATTAAAAGTACCTATTGAAAATAAATGCCCTCAAGGAAGTGCAAACCCAGGGTTTATGGCCACACAGGATGAACTGATGCTGGGTGCCAGCCAAAATTTCATGTGTTCATATTTTTATCAGGATCATTGTTTTTGTTACTGCTTTGTTTTCAAAGCTACATGGGGTTTGATTCTTCTGTCTCAACTCTATTTCTTCTATAAGCTCACATCTCTTTTGGTTTTGCAGAAATTAATATATCAGGTTATTATAAAAAATGCCCACACTGCCCAATTAGTTTTTGGAATATGTTCTTGGGAATGAATTACAGGATCAAAGGGCGTTTTGAAAGGTTTTTGTTTTTTTAAAAAATACATATTTCCAAATTTCCCACTGTAGTAGTTATCAGTGCTGTTCATCAAGTAGTTCATACTCTCTCCCTTCGGGACACATAGAAAGACTGCACTTTCTGGCCTGTCAAGCTTGGATGGAGCCATCTGCCTAGTTCTGGCCAGTGAGTTGTGAAAGAAGGGACTTGTGTCATTTCTAATCTCGAGCATGTGTTAATGCAAGACTTTCTAGGACAGCACCTTCCAATAGAACTTTCTGTGACAATAGAAATGTTCCATATCCGCACTGTCCAACATGGTAGCCACTAAGCATATGTATCTACTGAGTGCTTGAAAAGTGGCTGGGGAAATGAGAGTTTAAAATGTTAAAATATTAACTAATTTAAATAGCCATATGTAGCTAGTAGCTCTGTAGTGCACAGCTCTAGAGCCTTTTTTACCCTCCATACATACAATAGCAATATTCCATATAGTGGATGTTCCAGCAGCTTAGGTCCTAAAGTGAGAATGGCATGGGACAGCAATTATGGACCTATAGCCTGGATAAGCCTGGGTTTGAAGCCGCTGAAGTTTTTGAGGGCCTATGCTACCACAGCACAACTTAGCCTAACCTGAATGATACACCAATCGCAACTTTACTTCGCGTATGAGAAGATATCCTATTGCTCACAGTAGCATAGAGAAATTTTTCAAAGGATTTTTCATAGTCACGGCTTTTTTTTTTTTTTTTAATCGTTTCTGGCTTTGGTGTCCTTCTTAAGCCCAATATTAAGGAAATATTTACCTACAATTTTTTCCATTTTTTTTTTTACATCCTCAATCTACGAGGATGAGTGTGAGGATGGAAAACAGCTTTATTTTTTCTAAAATATCCAGGGCATCATCATTTATTGACTTTTATTATAAAAACTCGATATATTTGGGAATACCTGACTTCCTTATATTTTTCTGCCTATTTTCTCATGAGTATCACTGCTTTAATTACTGTGGCTTTGTAATACTTCTTAATATCTCCTCAGGGAAATTCCTACTCGTCATTCTTTCACAGAATTTTCCTGGCTAAGTTTGAACATATAACAAGAATGAACTGTTTATGAACTGTTTTACAGGTTTATAAACTATGAACTTTGACACGGTCTAAAATAAAATAGATCATATTGGGATAATGCACAATTCATGGATTTTTTAATTCATTCACTTTCTGCTTTCTATTTTTAAAAGGGCTTCATTTTTTTTCTGATGAGAGTTAAATACTCAAACTTAATTTCATAAAGGTTAAATAATGAAAATGTTTTCCTCTGTGTAGTGTTGACCATATCAAATAGGTTTTGATTTGTTATTACATTCTCATTATTTTCTAAATATTTGTGTAGGTGAAATTTGATTTCAGCTAAGAATTATTTACAAATATTTTGAATTCCTAAAAAATGTGGGTGTTGTTTCCAGTCGTGTCACTAATTTCTAGATTTATGATGATCTAGATGATGAACGTCAACCATTAGATCACTTTCACTTTTTGTAATGAGGTTTTCTCATATAACTTAATATATGTCCAATTTTAATAAATACTTGGGACATATAGAGATTGACCTTATACTACTCAGACCTTCTACATCTTAATTTTCTCTATTTGATCTATTAAGGATTGAGAAAATTTTGCTTAAAAAATCTTATTCTTACTGTCTCACAATTTCTCCTTTCATTTTTCAACGTTTCAACTTTGTAGCAGTTATGTAGCCTAAAGGCTCATGAATGATTATAGACATCTTTGTGTAGTCCCTCTATAATGATATCTTCATGAATGATTATAGACATCTTTGTGTAGTCCCTCTATTCAACCTGGTTTTTGCCTTCGACTTAACTTATAGACTTTACCTTAGCTAGAAATTACAGTGTGAAAAAGTTCTAAACAGCATTCATTAATCTTTCTTTTACCTTCTATTCGTATAAAGAAGCAAATTTAAGTGTTATTAAATAACATGTTGAAAGCAGAGGCTTTCTTTACAAGGCTGGCTCTGGGTTCTCACCAAGATCTTAAATTCCCTGAGGATGTCAGTATTTATATTAGAGTGAGAAGAATGAGTTGGGGCAGGCCAAGGGGCAAGAAGCAGAAGGCTTTTATTAGCACCCCATTTTCCTACTTCTACCCCAGTTTCTTCTTCTATCAGTTTCCCCAATCTTGTCACTAAATGAATTCCTTTATAAAACCTTATTAAAACTTTGTTTTCTAGTCCCAGATCTTTTACCACATAAAAATCCCAATCCAGGTTAGAAATAGTTCCTAAAATTATCTTCAATTAAAGTAGATATTAATAAAAATGCAGTAAGTTATATTGTGGGTATGGCAAAGGAGAGGGCTGGAGGCTGAGTCAAAGAGAGACAGGAAAGGAAGGATATTATTGTATACTTTTGATACATAGTTTTTGATTTTTGAAGTATGTAAACTTATTATTTAAATACGTAAAAATTAGAAATTTAAAAATTGCATAAAAATAAAGTTTTAAAAAATTCAAATACTACTGGGGCGCCTGGGTGGCTCAGTCAGTTAAGCGTCTGCCTTCAGCTCAGGTCATGATCCCAGGGTCCTGGGATCCAGCCCCCAGGGAGTCTGCTTCTCCCTCTCCCCACCTCATGCTCTCTCTTGCTCTCTCTCTCTCAAATAAATACAATCTTAAAATATAATAATAATAAAAATTCGACTACTACTTACCAGTCATATTTTCATCCAGTGGTAGAGAGACTCCTACATCACAGATTTTAATTGTTTCAAAATCACCTTTAATTACAACATTTGAAGACTTTATGTCTCCATGAAGCAGTTTCTTTTCTTGGTGTAGATACTAAAAGAGTGGAAAATTTAACACATCTGAGCAAATACATAAACTGATAAAAATATATGATAACCTCCAAACACAAAAAAAACAACTTGAACTCCCTTCCTGAACTACATGCAGAATGATATCTGTCCATCATTTCAGAATATTTGAAGTCAGACAAGGGAATATCCCATATTACTCCAGTCTGCCATACTGACCAGACATAGTCTTTGGAAATCAATGTCTATTTATAGTAAGCTAACTTTTCAAACGCATCTCATACTTTTACAGCAAAAGAGGATACTGCAGCTTTAAAAATATATCACAATTTTACTTGAGACTAGTAGGTTTTAGAAATAAATCTGGAACCTTCACAATGAGGCACACTTTTCACAAACAAGTTGTTGAGATAACGCAGAACAACAGATAATTAAGGGCAAAAGTTACACAAAAAGAGGAAGCAGAAATGTCATCTAAGACTAATACTTTATTTTACACATTAACTCTTAGTAATGATACTCATCCATAATCAAAAACAATCCTGAAAAACTGTTATTTTTTCATTCATCATCATCTACTCTGTGAGCTGCTTGAAAATAGCACAGAGACGATTTTTGGTATATACTTTCAAACACTGTGCTTCATTTAAATGTTGATCATAAATTGAGTATGCTCAAATATGTTTATAGTGAAATTTATTAATTCCACTATCCATATATATTTAAAGTCATTATTTATTAAATAATTCAAATTATTAATTTAGCTTATCCTATCCATTTAAAATCAGTTTTTCTACATAGATATTAAAATATATATTTAGGAATATTGCTTTTATGCAGTTTTATATTTCATAAGTCAATTTTATATCAACTCTTAACATGCAATTTTGATATCAGCATCAATACATGATCCACTTTTGAGTCATCCAACAGTGTTCCGGAGCCACCATTTCTCCTGCTTGGTTACCTAGGATAACGAATCCTTTTTCTTCCTTACACTGTACCTACTCAAAGGCACAACAATTTATTTGACAATATTAAAAGAGCTTTTTTCTTCATTTGACCTATAGACGTATATTGACATCCAAAACTTAACATCTCACAAAGCAATCTTCAAGAGGTCTGTGTACATCAACAGAGGATTAGGCTACACCCCCAGGAATAATTACTAAATTTGTGTTAAATTGATTAATCCTTTTAACTAAATCTAACATATGATCTGTATAAACAAAACTACCTAACTTGGATTATTTCAGGCTATGTAAAGACCTCAAACAATACTCTGCTGATCAAGATAAGGAAATAGTGCATTCTGCAATATGAGAGAGTCTATAAAGGCTTTAACTTGGGGCAACTACTTCTTCTGCAGGAAAAAAAAATCCCACCTTGTAATTAGGTATATAAAGTAGTTCTTTCTTGTTCCACAAAAATCATTTAAAATATAATGGCACGGTTACCTTTAACCCTCTCGCCATGTTCAAAGCAACTTTTAAAATTATGGCTGCTGGAAAAGGATCTTGTCTGTCTTTATATCGTTCTTCTATTAAGTCATTTAGAGACTTTTCCCCTCCATATTCCATAGCGAGACACAGACTACCATCACTGGCTTCAGTGAAAGCACGATAACCTTAAAGAAAACAGGACATTTTCTTACTAGAATAGGGAAGAATAACAGTATTTAAGTTTTTTTACAGTGATGTGATTGGAAACTGACAAAATACACTGAAACAATTATTTATAAAGCTAATTCAGTGTTTGCCAATAGGATCACAAATTAAAATATTTTTAAATGCTCTATGCCTTCCTGAATATAATGGTTTCACTAGTCTTATTTACATTGAAAATGAAAATAAGGAAATTATCTAAATGAAGGTCATTTTATATTCCTGAATTCTCTACAGCACCAGCATCATAATGAGTATATCTATTCCCATTAAATTTTAAAAATACAGAAGCATCTAAAAATATTACATAATTCTTATTTGAGAACATTCACAATAATCTTGTTCTTGCCAAACTCCACCACCATCTTCATTTTTATTAGTGACACTGGTCGAGAGATTATATAAACTGTTTCTGAATAAATACATGTACTGCTACAAGGTAAATTTAAACTTACCTACAATGTTTGGATGATGGAGGTTTTTCAAAATCTTAGCTTCATCTATTAGTCTCTTTTGATACATACTTTGATAATGATCATTACATCTCGGGTTAATCTTTTTCACAGCCCAAGGAGAATAAGACAAACCTCTTGGAGATCTTAAAAAAATAATCAAACAAAGTATAGAAAGAATAATAACCATAATGCATTTCAAATGACTAACAAGAACTTTCAAATTTTGAAAAGAGTTCAGTAATAATTTGTTTAAAAATTTTTTACAAATATTTTCGACTATTGGGGCACCTGGGTGGCTCAGTCACTTAAGCATCCAACTCTTGGTTTCGGTCAGGTCATGGGATCAAGCCCTGCATCGGGCTCTGCGCTCAGCGCACTGTCTACTCAGGACTCTCTCTCCCTCTGCCCCTCTCCCCGCTCCATGCACGCTCTCTCTCTCATAAATAAATAAATCTTAAAAAAATTTAAAAATAAAGTATTTTTGACTATCAACACCTCTGCTACATATCCTTTTTAATTGGAAGATATATAGCTGATACAGCTATTAATTACAAGCCTGATATCTATTGCTGAAAGGTAGGGGTTAAAAAGAGACAACTAGAAAAAAAAAGAGAGAAAAAAAGAGACAACTAAAAGGAAAAAGATGGGACATTATAAATTTTAAACTTCAAAATTACTATTTTCTAATTTTTCCATTTCAGCATGTCAGACTACCAACTACTTATCAAACATTTAACTATATGTACCAGAGGTAAGTTACAGAATGCTAAGTAATAAACACTAATGTCCAAGAAGCTTAAAGAACAGATGTACAAAGAACATTTGGCCCATAGATGATTGTGCAAAGAATAACACTGCTCTTCACCAACAAATATTGTCCCTCTATAGTAACCAATCCATCCTATACCTTTCACCATATACTCAAAGACACACGTGTAAGGAGATAATAAACATACAAATGAGAAAAAATGTAAACTGTCTATTTTCTAGGAAGAGTCAGTCATTTTAAGAATATTTAAGGTGTACACATTCTGAGGTCTAAATAAACAGGTAAAACAAAGTCAGGGACAAGTTTACCCGATAAAGTAGTTATTCATGGGTACAGCAAATTAAGAAGGACAAAGTGCATGCAGCATATGGGCAAGAAAGCGAATGAAAAGAGCCTCGAAAGTTAGAGATAAAAAATTTTACCATAAGAAGATAAAATAGACTGAACCAAGAATCAAGAATCCACTTAGTTTTTTACTAACTCATGAATATGGCTCTATGCTTGCAGGACCTTTTTATTTTTAAATCAAAAAACATGCACTCAAAGGATCACTAGATTTCTTAATTCAGATACATCTATCATATACAAGTTTATCCGAAGTATTCGTAAACCTCCAATTTTAGATAACAACAGCAGTTGGGGATGCCTCTTCCACGTCATTTTATTATGGAAAATATATTTTTCAAGTTTCAAAGGGTACCCCTCAGCTCCCAAGGATTTAGAATTCAGTGAACAAATCCATCTTCACCTTTTTCATCTCAATCTATAGAATGCCAAGAACATATTTACAAAATCTGAATATTTTACCAAGCTAAAAGTTGGTTCATTGAAAAGACAAATAAAACAGGCAAATTTTTTTAATGAGACTGCACAAGGGAAAAAATGAGACCCAAATAATATTGCCAACAAAAACAGAGACATAACCACAGATTCATCAGAGATAAAAAATGTAAGTGAATAGAAAAATAAAACTTTTACCCCAATAAATTTAAAGGACAAAATGGACAAATTCTTAGAAAAATCTAAGAAACCTGACAAAAGAGAAAATGTAATCAAGAGTTTAAAATATTCACATAAAAAATACGAAGCCTAAATAATTTTACAGGTGAGTTTACTAAACTTTCAAGGAACCTATCATTCCATCTTACACAAACTGTTCCAGGGAATAGAAAGAAAAGGGACTATGAGTCTAGTATAACCTTAATAGACAAATCAAATAGGGACAGCAGAAAAAGGAAAATCACAAGCCAATTTCACTTAAATCATAGACATAAGAATCCTAAATAGCAAAATGAATCCATCAGTTTTATTAAAAAAATAATAATGTATCACAACTAAGTTAATCTGGGAATGAGAACTTGATTGAACATAAAAAAAAATATAGACTTCTAGATTAAAAAATATAGACTTCTAGCTTGAACATACACATATAATTTTGATCCCTTCCAAAGCCCACTAAAATAAAAGCAAATGGGTATTTTAAGACCTACACCCAATGAGAAGGATGGAAATAATGAAAAGGAGAAAACACACTTTTGGAAGCTTGGAAAGCAGATGAAAGTAACAGACTTAACAAGCCTAGTGAACTTCTTGAAAGTCACTTAAAAAACAGGTGAATTTCGGGTGCCTGTGTGGCTCAGTTGGTTAAGCAACTGCCTTCAGCTCAGGTCATGATCCTGGAGTCCTGGGATCGAGCCCTGCATTGGGCTCCCTGCTCGGCAGGGAGTCTGCTTCTCCCTCTGACCCAACCCCCTCTCGTGCTCTCTCTCATTCTCTCTCTCAAATAAATAAAATCTTTAAAAAAAAAAAAAAAAACAGGTGAATTTCTAGACACCCTCCCCAATTCTGTCCACCTCCTATTCCTCCAGCTTCTGAAGACCGGAGACTGGCTTTGGAAGGGGTTAAAGCGGAGGGTCTTTAGCCTGAGGTTTACTGGCATAGTTGAGAACCCATGAAGCACACGGGAAGAGTAATTCATGACCATATGCGTACTAAATGCTGAATGTGTTTTCACATGTGTATATACCTGTTTATTAACACCCAGACCAGGATACAGAGCCCTCATAGCACCCTCAAAAGACTTAGGATCCCATCTGAACATGGAAAACATTAAGATAATTATTAAAAACAAGACAGACAAAAATGAAAAAATAGAAATATCAGAAGATGAAGTTGGAGAAATCTCCCAGAAAACAGAGCAAAAAAAAAACCAGCCCCCCCCCCCGCCAACGGTAAACAATAGGAATTCCAGATAGAGAAGAGAATAATGGGGGTGAAAATTATCAACAAAGTAATTTAAAAAATAATTTCCCAAGATTTAAGAGTAGGAATTTTCAGATTCCAGAAGGCCCACACCCATGTATGTCATTGTGAAATTCCAGAACACTGGTGACAAACAGAAGATCATACAAAGTTCCAGGAGAGTGGGAGGGACAAATAACCTAAACCAGATTACATAAAAAGCAGCAGCAATCAGAAAGGCTTCAGAAATCTCAACAGCAACACTACAGGCTAATAAACAATGGAACAATGACCTCAAAATTCTAGAAGAAAATTATTTCCAAACGAGGATTCTGACTCAGAAAAACAAAAAGGGCCATTCAAAAATGAGAGTAAAATGAAAACATTTCAGGGGCGCCTGGGTGGCTCGGTTGGTTAAGCGACTGCCTTCGGCTCAGGTCATGATCCTGGAGTCCTGGGATCGAGTCCCACATCGGGCTTCCTGCTCAGCAGGGGGGTCTGCTTCTCCCTCTGACCCTCTTCCCTCTCGTGCTTTCTATCTCTCATTCTCTCTCTCTCTCAAATAAATAAGTAAAATTAAAAAAAAAAAAACATTTCATAAATGCAGATTTTCAAAAATGTTATTTCCTGTGCATCTTTCAATGGGGAGCTACTACATGCCCTCAGTCAAAATGAAATGTAAACCAAGAAATAGTAAGATGTAAGATACAGAAAAACAGAGGATCCAATTCACCAGAGAAATGAAGGAAATCTCCAGGTTACCAGTAAAAGAAAACCCCAGGTTGACACGGCTACATTAGGAGGAGTGGTATGGTCAGTCACTGACTACTGTTTTTCAGTATCAGCGATATGAAGCTTTCTAATTAAGTCTCAGAGAGAACTTTTTTGGTAACACACTTTACATGTAAGGACATTGACAGAGAGAGAGACAGCGAGAGAGGGAACACAAGCAAGGGGAGTGGGAGAGGGAGAAGCACTTCCCACTGAGCAGGGAGCCCGATGCGGGGCTCGATCCCAGGACCCTGGGATCATGACCTGAGCCGAAGGCAGACGCTTAATGACTGAGCCACCCAGGTGCCTGGTAAGGACATTTTTTTAAAAGGGGGAAAAAAATGAGACTAGCCATAAACGTGTGAGAATTTTTTCTTTCAAAATAACTTAAGAGTTTTTAGACCCTAAAAAATGAATGTCTATAAAAAAAATAGCACAGAAACACACGAAGGGGGTGTTTAAACCACAAAAATTCTTCAAGAATAGCCACATATAATTGCTATGCTATGTAACAGAAAGTATTTCTATTTGGAAATAATATAAACCTAGATAAAGCTAACAATATACTGGTAGGTAGGCTGATTCCAACAATGCATTAAGGAATATAAATTGACTTAAGCTATTTGCCACTTAATAAACATTTGCCACTTAATAAATAAAGGTACAGAGTAATGAGTAAAAGAAACAACTTTTAAAAAAATGCTTGTTGACACCTATAATTTCATTTTTCTTTTAACACAATTTTCCTACTTTAATATCATGTATATACCCCTCTTACTTAACAGTGACGACATAAGAAATTAAAAAAATGTCCTTTTTTAAAGGAGAGTATCTTGAGGATGCCATTCTCCAGATACAAGAGGTTAACAGTCACTGACATCCCCCAACATCGGCATCTTCTCGGAGGTTTTCCTATTGAGAATCCCGTGTTGTTACCACACAGGAACCACCTTCCCTCTGTCTCTTTCCCTTCCCACACAAGCCAAGGAAAAATTATAAGATAAATTCCTTCTCCTTTAATAATCCATCAGTAGGAAGGTAGGAGAAAAGTATACTAGGCAAAATTCTGGCAAAGTTATAAAAAGTTCTAGGACTGGAATATAGCAGTCAGATAAGATCAGGAACATATCTGAAATAAAAATATTTGAATTTTCATATTCTTTTTTGTCTTCAAGTACACAGCAACTATGGTTCCATGTGAAAAGGTTAATTTGGAATGTTACACTCACCTTTTCATAAGGTAGACGTTTACCCCAGTGCCAAAGCCAAGCTTCTGCATAAATGGAGAAGCAGGAATATTTATACATGGAGTTGAACATAGTGCTAAATGTCAGAAAGACAAATAAAAAATATAAAATTAGTATTTGAAAAGACCTCTATAAAAGCATCCAAATATTTTCAACATCTGAGTATTAATTGGCATAGTCTTCTGGAGAGCAATTTGATACTATCTACCCTAACTGTACATGGAAACCCTTTGACCAAATCCACTTCTGGAGCCCTATCTCACAGTAACACCGAAGCAGGCGTCAGCAAACGGCCTATTTTTGTTTGGCTCACAAGCTAAGATTTGTTCTTAGATTATAAAAGTGTTGTTAAAAAATAAAGAAGAATATGCAACAGAGTCCCTATGTGGCCCACAAAGCCTAAACTATTACTGTATGTTGTTTGCCAGCTGTGTACTACAGCACGTGTGCAGACATCATGCACACACTTCTCTTTGAAAATTGGGATTTTTGTGACTGCAAACAAACAAACAAAAAACCCAACTAGTCATCATTAGGGTGATAATTATACCATATCTGTATTACAGAGCATTATGTAGTCGTTAAAAAAGATGAGATAGAGGAGTCCTACTTTTGTTCATGAACAACTGAACAGCCTTCTTGCCGTGAATAACTAAAACACCTGACAAAATAGAAGTTTTCAGACATTCGACAACAGGCAGAGCAGGGTTGTGAACTCTGAGAGAAAACAAACAAATGATGGGAGCCCTATCACTGCCCTAACTTTACTGCTTTAAGGCAGTCTCTGGGCGGCAGCACGAAGAAACACAGCCCAGAAGTCTTGTCAAATTCAGGAGACAGAGATCAGAAGTCCAAGAGACCTAAGTAGCTAGCTAGAATTTGTGGAGCAGAGAACCACAGGGAGCCACAAAATGAGAGAGAAAGCTCCAGACACCCGAAAAGAGGTCTCCCTTCGAGTGTTGAGTTATCTGCACATCCAACAGACAGAACTCCCCAAAGTCAGGGAAAGCACCACGCACGGGCATGACTAAACAGCCGGCAGAGAGCACAACGGTCTAGGAATGGTTCAATTACCATCAGCCAGGGCGCGGGAACTTGGTAACACACAGGGCATTGAGTAAAGTCCTCTAAACAGTCATGGCTCTATTTTAGCCCAAGGAAAAGGCTTACAGTAAAGCTCAAAAGCAAACCTCAAAAGAAATAAGCTAAGGTGCAGGTAACGTAACTGCACCATCACAAAATCACACTGCCCTCCAAAGAATGACGAAATCTAGCACTTGACAATGTAAAATGTCCAGCAGCCAATAAAAGAACTACCAGGTATGAAAAAAGAAATATGACCCACACCAGGAGAAAAATAAACCGACAGAAACGTACCATAAAATGACAGTGATGTAGAATTAGGAGGTAAGAACCTTAAAATAGAAATCTTAAAAACATGCTCAATAATGTAAAGGAAAATGTGAGCATAACAATCAAAAAAAAAAAAGATGTAAAAAAAACTCCTAATGGAACTTGAGGGAATAAAAAAGACAATGGATAAGAATAAGATCATCTAGAGATGCTGTTAGAGAAGCATCTAGAGAAGAAGGTAACTAAGTTTTAAGACAAAGCAACAAAAACTACCAAAAATGAAGCACAGAAAAAAAGATTAGAAAAAATACAAAGAAATCATCAGCGAGCTTTGGGACAATAGCAAAAGAGTAGATTTGATCCAACCACACAGAGAATTACATTAAAGGTCGTCTAAGCAGTGTTGTCCAATAAAACTTTCTGTCATGATGGAAATGTTCTATATCTGTGTTGTCCAGTATGGTAGCCACTAGCCACATGTGGTTACTGAGCACTAGAAAAGTAGCTAATACAACTCAGGAACTAAATTTGTAATTTTATTTAATTTTAATTCATTTGAACCTAAATTTAAATCACTAGATGTGGCTAACGAATGAACAGTCCAATTAAAGGCAGAAATTGTCAGAATGGATAAAAACAAAGTAAGACATAACTACATGCACTCTATAATAAACTCATTTTAAATATAAAAACACAGATGGGTTAAAAGTAAAATGTTGGAAAACATCCTATTCAAACAGTAATCAAATTAAAACTGGACTGGTTTTATCACATAAAAGTAAACACACATCACATAAAGTGAACCTCAAACAGTTCAAGACTGGATAAAGAAAGACATTTCATAATAGTAAAGGGGTAAATCGTCAAAAGAAATAACCATCCTAAATGTAAAATTATCTAGTAACAAGCTTCAAAATACATAAAGCAATCACAGTAGAACTCAAAGGAAAAAAAAACAGATAAATCCACAATTGTAGTTGGAGACACTTCTCTCAATAGTAGAATAAATAAAATTCGTAGAGATACAAAAAACCTGGACAAAACAACATAAGTCAACCAGCTTGACCTAAATGATACTCATGGAACACTGTACCCAAAAACAGCAGAAAGTATGATCTTTTCAAGTGCCTGAAACATTCGCCAAAATAAATAAACCTCAAGTCAAGAAAGAAAAAGTAAAATACCAGTGTCAGACATGAAAAAGGAGATACCACCACAGATCCTAATGACATTAGAAGGGTAATAAGGTAATAAGAGTATATCACAAATAACATTTTGCCACTATATTTGATAACTGGAAAGTGAAAAACTTCCCTGAAAAACACTAACAAAGTTTACACAAGAAGAAATAGATAATTTGAAGAGCCCTATACTTATTAACTGTGATGTCACAGTTAAAATCTTCCTCCTAAGAAAACTTCAGGCCACATGTCTTTCCTATCAGTAAAGGAAGAAAAGCCAGTTAAGGAAAAAAAAACACCCATCAATTCTACATATACTTTCCAAGGGAAGAGAAGGAAACACTTCCCCTCTTACTTTATGAATATAGAATATTCTGATATCGAAACCAGAAAGACATTCCAAAAAAAAAGACAACTACAGTCCAATATCCCTTATGAACACAGAAAATATTAGCAAACTGAATCAAGCAATATATAAAATACATCAAGATCAAACTGGCTTTACCCCAGGAATGAAAGTTTGGTTTAACATTTGAAAATTAACACAAATTACCACATTTAAAGACTAAAAAAGCAAACTATCTCGATAGATTCTGAAAAAGCTCTTGACAAAGTTCAATATCCATTCGTAATAACCTTCAACCTGATGAAGCACAATAAAAGGAAATCCTTCACCCTGATAAAGGATAACTGTAAAAAACCTACATCTAACATAAAACTTCACTGAGAACAAGGCAAGTATGTCCAATCGCACCTCTTCTATTCAAAAATATACTAGAGCCAGGGACATAGGGAAAGGAAAAAGAAATAAACTAATACAGTGACACAGGGAAAGGAAAAAGAAATAAACTAATATAGGTAAAAAAAAGTAACACTATCTTCATATATTCATCTACAACAGTACCAACTATGTATGAAATAGCCTAAGGAACCCATAAAAAGCTAATAGAATGAGTGGCTTTAGCATGGTTGCAGGACACAAGGTCAATATACAAAAATCTATACACTAGAAATGAACAAGATAAGATTTTCTCCTATATTATCTTCCAGAAATTTTGTAATTTTAATCATTTTTGTATGTGATGTGAGCTGAGAGCAATCTGCATATAAATATCCAAATGCTTTTATTTGTTGAAAAGATTATCCTTTATTCACTGAATTGCCTGGGAAACTCTTTCCCTCACAAGAGCACTGCATGTACCAGAAGGGGAAAGGTAAAGTACCTCATGGTTCAAACTGATTCTTTACCAGGGAGAACCTCCAAATCTGTTAGAATGTCAATAAAATTAGCTAACAGATGGCCAAACCTGGCCTACAAAATAAGTCTTATTTGTTAAAATCAACATTACAAAGAGGACTTATGCTAAAATTGTTTGTGTATGATAAATAATAGTTAAAGGATCAAACTCTAATAATGCTAAGACATTTCTATAGCAATAACAATGAAAAAATATTTTATATCTTACCAGATTTCTTTTTTTCAGATAATTTGCTTGGTGTCTTGAAATTACTGATTTCTTCCATTGTAATAAACACTCTAGGTCCTATGATGAAAACAAATTGAAAGTTACACTGCAGTTATACAGAATACAACTCTCATTCATGAAGAAAAAAAAGTCCTATAATACTGTAATTCATTTTATCATATAAACATAACATTTGAGAACTGAAAAAGACCATGACAGATATTTAGTCCAATTTTATTGACAATGAAAAAACTGAGACCTAGAGAAGTATAACTACTTACCCAATGTCATGCTATTAATGATTAAGTTTTTACGCTTGATTGTATTAAGAAGTAATATACACACTAGGAAAAAGTAATATATGAACTTGGTTAAAAAAAACCACCTCATACATAAAGGTAAAGGTAAGTTTCCCTCTCACACTTCCCAGGGGTCACTGTTAACAGGTCTTTTATACCTTTTAGAGATATGGTCTAGCCAAGCAGCGTTTATTCATAATAGCCAAAAAGAGGAAACAAGTATTCATCAGATGATGGATAAACAAAATATGGCATACAATACACACAACAGAATATTACTCAGTCATAAGAAGGAGTCCTGATACATACTACAACATGAATGAACCTTGAAAACATTATGCTAAGTGAAAGAGGCCAGACACAAGAGGCCACATATATGATTCCATTTACAGAAAATGTCCAGAATAAGCAAATCCATAGACAGAAAATAGATTAGTAGTTGCCAGGGGCTGGGGAGAAGGGAGAACAAAGAGCGACTCCTAGTGAGTGTGGGGGTTTTTTTTGTGATGATAAAAATATTCTAAAATTGGGTAGTGATTTAATATATTCAACTCAGACTATTCCTAAGGTCACTACATTATATACTTTCAGAGTGAATTTTATAATATGTGAATTATAACTCCATAAGTTATGTAAAAATGGTCTATGAACAGAAAATACTGTATATACAAGCAAGTTAATCCAAGGTTTTTATTTCTTCTGTAACATATTTATTAAAGAATCCTTTTTAATAAAAACTTTATTACTTTTTCTTTTTAAAAAATAGTTTGGTTCATATTAGATTTATTGTACAGCGAACTGTCACTACATGTGTATAAGATTGTTTGGTTTGTCTATAAAAAAATGGGAGGCAGATAAAGGGTTTGCATCCAAAATATATAAAGAACACCAAAAAAAAAATAATCCAATTAAAAAATGGGTAGAAGACCTGAACAGACATTTTTCCAAAGAAGACATACAGATGACCAAGAGGCACATGAAGGGATGCTCAACATCACCCCGTGAGGGAAATGCAAATCAAAATCACAATGAGACATCACCTCACACCTGTCAGAATGACTAAAATCAAAACCACAAGAAACAACATGTGTTGGTGAAGATGTGGAGAAAAAGGAACTCTCATGCACTGTTGGTGAGAATGCAAATTGGTGCAGCCACCGTGGAAGACAGTGTGGAGGTTCCTCAAAAAACTGAAAACAGAACTGCCCTATGATCCGGTAATCTCACTATTGGTATTTGCCCAAAGAATACAAAAACACTAATTCAAAGGGATACATGCACCCTAAAGTTTACTGCAGCATTATTTACAACAGCCAAATTATGGAAGCAGCCCAAGTGTCCATCAATAGATCAGTGGATAAAGATGTGGTACATATATGGAGTGGAATATTACTCAGCCATAAAAAAGAATGAAATCTTGCCATTTGCAACAACATGGATGGATCTAGAGTATAATCCTAAGTGAAATAAGTCACTCAGAGAAAGACAAATACCATATATTTTCACTCATATGTGGAATTTAAAAAAATAAAACAAAGTGGGGGGGGGTAAAACAAAGACAAATCAAAAAACAGACCCTCAACTACAGAGAACAAATGGTTACCAGAGGGGAGGTGGATGGGGGGATGGGTGAAATAGGTGATGGGGATTAAGAGTACACTTACCATGACGAGCACTGAGGAATATACAGAACTGTTGAATCACTATATTGTACACCTGAAACGAATATAACACTGTATGCTAACTACACTGGAATTAAAAAAATAAATTAAAAATTGGCAGGCGGAGAGAACATATGCTTAAATTTTGTATAGAGCTCTTAATAAACAGCATTTTTAAAAACTGCCAAGAAAAATCACCTCAAAGGCCTACCTTTAATTGCCTATTAATGAGAAGCCTGTTTCTTTTTAAATGTAGCCACAATCACCACTGTTTTCAGATTTGCCTGAATTTTGAACACCAAAGACCTCCTTTTCATGCAAAAATACACTAATTTTATCAAGTGAAACATTTAACTAAAAGGAAGGAACATATTTTTCAGGAACACGTTTCAGGCCTTTCGGGAAGGATAAACTATTTTAACAGAGTGGGTTGGAGGAGCTACTTCTACTTTGGAAATAATTTCCCCATGTGGTTCTGACTGCCCTTCTTCCATCTTCATTCATCTACCCTCACAAGACGTTGTGAAGGAGCACCTCAATGAGCTTCTAAGACTCCTATCTACCTATGGGAAGCTACTCTTCATTCACTCACTCAACACATACTTATTGAGCATGTACCATGTGTTAGGCACTGTTCTAGGCACCGGAGCCCCAGCAGTGAACAAGACCCAAACAAACAAGAAGATAAATACAGAAGATAATGATATATAGGCAGGGAAAATACACACCAGTGAACTGAGACAGAGTGCTGGGAAGGAGCTTGAAATTTGAGTTGGGGTGGTCAAGGGGAGGTCTCCTTGAGATGTCATTTGAAGGAAGTAAGGGAGCTAGACCATGCAAATATCTAGGGGAAGTCTGTACGACAAAAGTAGTAAATACAAAGGCCCTGAGGCAGAACATTTTCAAGGGAAAGTGAAGAGGGCAGGGCTAGCAAAAGGGAGAAAGGAAATGAAGTCACAGAGTTTGGGGATAAAGGACAGCAAATCAGGTAGAGCACTGAGCCATAAAGACCTCAGCTTTTATTCATAGAGCTTTAGTCACAGTAAGGATTTCAGCTCTTGCTGAGAAAGGGGAAGCTATTGGAGGATTTTACAAGGAGGAGTGATACACTCCATGTTATGTTTCAGCAGAATCACTCCCATTTGTGTTTAACTGAAGGGGAACAAGGACAGGCACAATACTGAAATAATCCAGGAGAGATATGGTGGCTTGGATGGTAGGATGGTAGCAGTTAGAGGTGGTGACAAATGGTCGGGTTCTGGATGTATTATGAATCTGGAACCAATAAGATTTCCTAATGTTTGGATTTTTGTTAGGAATGAGAGAAAAGTCAAGGATAGCTCCAAGTTTTCAGACTGAGCAACTGAAAGAATAGAGATGCCATTACTCAGATCAGGAAGTCAATTTTGAATGTCTGACTAGACATCCAAATAAAAACATGAAATAGGCAGCTGGATATAGGTCTGGAATCCAATCTGAAGGTACAAATTTGTGGCATATCAGCATGTATATGGTATTAAAGCCAAAGACTGGATGAGAGCACCTAAGGAATAAGTAAAGATAGGAAACACAGACCTCTGAGGGATCCCAACATGAGAAATGAAGAACAGAGTAAACTGACGAGGAGCCAGAAAACTAGGATGCAAAACAATCCCACAAAGTGGGGTGTCCTGGAAATTTTACTGCCTTTTAAGTCTCACTGCCCTTCCTTTCAGCATAAAGAGGATCTCATATTCAGAAGCTGCCTAAATGTTAAAAAACCTTCCTCCAACTAAAAAACATCTAAGTTTAAACAAGTCTTTTAATATTACATTCTAGAACACTCTAGGACTCAGTCCCACTTCCCACTACAACCTACTTGCAACTAAATAGACTACACCCTCTCCATCTCACAGTTGTCTGAGGCACCTTTTTTCATGACAAAACAGTTTAGGCCTCAGTCTACTGAGAGATGGCCTCTGGCCACTAGCCCAAACTCTCAGATTTTATATACGTAATCTATATACATACAGATCTATCTCTTTCTATATATTTAAATTGCTAAATAACTATAGTAATCTAAATCACAAGATTCTTATGAAGGTAACAGCATAAAATTGTGAATATCTTACATGAAGATACATTAGAAATGAAAGTATTACGACTGTGGGCAAAATTTCATTGTGGAGTATTTAGGAGATTTTTTTTTTAAATCAAGTACTGTTTAAGAAGCAGTATGTAAAAATTAACAGAGCTCAGCAAGTTAATCAAAAGATCCATTGAATCAGATATCAATAACTTTTGGACCCTAAGCCACCCTAGGGCTAAACAAATACATGGATACTACTGGGCAGAGCTGAAGTGTATAGACAGGCAGCAAAAAAAAAAAAAAAAAAGAAAGAAAAGAAAAAAAACAGAATGAGAGAATTAGTAACGATAATGAGAAAAGGAAATGGAGGGGGAAAGTAGCCTGAAAAAGAATGGCAAAGTTCTGATCAGATTATTTCTAAGGTCCTGTACACTTTACACCCCACGGCTTCCTGGAGGTAGAAGCACAAACTGTTTATCCCCCCATCCGGGAGCTTACAGAGGGCTGGTTGTTAAAATGCTTCTTCCACCTGCTCAACCACCTCCCTTGAAAACTGGAAGCAACATTAGATGAGAAATTCACAGGCGGGAACTGTGCTTCATACCCCCTTTTTCTCAAGCCCCACCCTCTCCGTTCCCACCAGAAATCCTTCACCAATTCCAGCCGCGCCTAAGAACTGGAACCGAGACTCACTGGGCGGCGATAAGAAACCACCGTTTCCACCAAGCACAAGCCGGTGTTCCGATCTGGTGCATGTAAGATGTCCCTAAACGCTGGGGTCTCGCCTCAAGCAGAGACCTGGGCCTCAGGGCGTCTGTCCGTAAAACCAATTGTAAAATAACGGCAACCTGCTAGATCCATCGTCTTCTCCTACGGATCTTCCATAAAAAAGTAGATCGTTAGGCTTCACTTCGAGAAAAGGGCAGTTTCTTGAAATCCCCACCCTACCCTGCTATTCAGATGCGCATTCGGGTTTGGGTCGCAAACACTTTTCTAAATTAATTCCCAGTTGAACGCCACATTCCCAACGGTCTTCACCTTTCCC